GCCAGTTTTCCCAGCACCATTTACTGAATAGGTTCTTCTCTCCCCAGTGGTAAGTGGTGGAGGCTTTGTCAAAGATGAGTTGGTTGAGAAATTGAGGTTTTGCTTCTGGAATCTCAATTCTATTCCATTGATCAATATGCCTGTTCCTGTACCAATATCAAGCTGTTTTGATTATTGTAGCTTTATAGTAAAGTTTGAAGTCTACTAATGTGATACCACCTGCTTTGTTTTTTTTGCTGAGGATTGTTCTGGCTATTCTTGGTCATTTGTGTTTCCTTATGAATTCCTGTGTTGTTTTCTCTAGGTCTGAGAAGAATGTTGCTGATAATTTGATGGGTATTGCATTAAATCTGTAGATTGCCTTAGGTAGTATGGACATCTTCACAATGTTAATTCTTCCAATCCATGAGCATGGGATATTTTTCCACTTGTTTGTATCATCCTTGGTTTCTTTGAGCAGTCTTTTGTAGTTTTCATTGTAAAGGTCTTTCACATTTCTGGTTAAGAAGAGGCCAAGGTATTTCATTTCTTTGGTGGCTATTGTGAATGGAATTGTGGTTTTTATTTGGGTTTCTGTTTGTTTATTATTGATGTAAAGAAATGCGATTGTCTTTTGCACATTTATTTTATATCCTGAGACTTTGCCAAAGGCCTTTATCAGTGTAAGGAGGTTTTTGACAGATTCTCTTGGGTTTTCAAGGTACATGATCATGTCATCTGCAAAGAGAAATAGCTTGACTTCCTCTTTTCCTATTTGAATACCCCTGATTGCCTTCTCTTCTCTGATTGCCCTAGCCAGGACTTCCAATACTATATTGAACAGGAGGAGTGAGAGTGGGCATCCTTGTCTTGTTTCAGTTTTCAGGGGAAATGGTTCCAGTTTTTGTCCATTTAGGAGTATGCTGGCTGTGGGTTTCTCGTAGATGGCTTTTACTATTTTGAGGTATGTTCCCCATATGCCTAGCTGTTCGAGGGTTTTTATCAAGAAGGGGTGCTGGGTTTTATCATAAGTTTTTTCTGCATCTAATGATATAATCATGTGGTTTTTGTTTTGACATCTGTTGATGTATTTAATTACATTTATGGTTTTACAGAATGTTGAACCAGCCTTGCATCCCAGGGATGAAGGCTACTTGGTCATGATGGATGATTTTTGAGATGTGTTGTTGAATCTGGTTCGCTAGGATCTTGTTGAGAATTTTAGCATCTATGTTCATCAAAGATATTGGCCTGTAGTTCTCTTTCTTTGTTGGGTCTTTACCTGGCTTGGGTATCAATGTGATGTTGGCTTCGTGAAATGATTTGGGGAGAGTTCCGTTTTTTTCAGTCGCCAGGAATACCTTCAGTAGGATTGGTATCAGCTCCTCTTTAAATGTCTTGTAGAATTCTGCTGGAAAGCCATCTGGTCCAGGGCTTTTTTGGGTAGGTAGTTTCCTTATTACGTAGTCACTTTCCTTGATTGTTATTGGTCTATTTAGGGTCTCAATTTCATCTTGTTTCAACTGGCAGGTTGTGTGATGACAGAAAGTCCTCCATTTCCAAAAAGTTTTCAAGTTTGCTTCCATTCAAGTGTACATAGTAGTCTCTAATGATCTTTTGTATTTCTTCAGGATTAGATGTGACTTCATCTTTAGTGTTTCTGATTGTGTTTATTTGGGCTTTTTTTCTCTTTTTCTTGGTCAGTCTAGCTAGGGGACCATCGATCTTGTTTATCCTTTCTAAGAACCAGCTTTTTGTTTCATTGATTCTTTTGTATTATCTTTTTGTCTTCTATGTCCTGGATTTGGGCTTTTATTTTTGGTGATCTGGATTCTTCTGCTGAAATTAGGGTTTTTGTGGTCTTGCTTTTCCAGCTTTTTTAGGTGGCTTCTTAGGCTGTTAATTTGTGATCCTTCCATTTTCTTCATGTGCATTTGTAGGGATATAAATTCCCCTCTTACTATAGCTTTCATGGCATCCTGGAGATTTTGGTAAGATGTTTCTTCATTTTCATTTGTTTCCATGTATCTTTTAATCTCTGTTTTGATTTCATCATTTTCCCAGGAGTTGTTTAGCATCATGCTGTTTAGTGTCCATGTCTTTGAGGGTTTGGGGGGAGACCTTGTTGATGTTAATGTTTATTTTTATTCCACTGTGGTCCGAGAAGGTGCATGGTAAAATTTCAGTCCTTTTAAATTTCCTTATGCTTGATTTATGGCCAAGTATGTGGTCAATCTTAGAGTATGTTCCATATGGTGATGAGTAGAATGTGTATTCTGTGGTCTTTGGATGGAGGGTTCTGTAGGTATCAATTAAGTCCATTTGATCAAGAGTCACATTGAGGTTTTGGATCTCATCACTGATTTTTTGTCCTGATGATCTGTCTAGGGTTGTGAGTGGGGTATTGAAGTCCCCAGCTATGATGGTATTGGAGTCGATATCTGTTTTTTGTTTACCTAGGAGCTGCTTTATGAAAGTTGGTGCTCCTATGTTTGGTGCATATATGTTTAGAATGGATAATTCTTGCTGATGGATTGAACCTTTTATCATTATGTAGTGGTCTTCTGTATCTTTTTAAATTTTTGATAGCTTAAAGGGTATTTTGTCTGAGATTAAGATCGTGACTCCTCCTTTCTTTTGTGTTCCATTAATCTGAAAATTTGTTTCCCATCCTTTTACTTTGAGTCTGTGAGTGTCCTTTTTAGTGAGGTGAGTCTCTTGAAGGCAATAGATTGTTGCCTGGTGATATTTTATCCATTTTGCCATTCTATGTCTTTTCAGTGGTGCATTTAGTCCATTCACAAACTAATTATTGAAATGTGAGAGTTGATCCCTATCATAATGTTCTTATAGAGTTATTTTTCTTCCTGTTTGTGTGTTGTCTTTCTTTTGGTTTTAGAGTTGGATCATGTATGTTTTTAATCTTTTGCCTGTATTCTTGTGAAGAATGTTGTTGTTCTTTTATCCTTTTCTTCTGTGTTCAATACTTTCTTAAGTGTTTCTTATAGAGGTGGTCTTGTGGCGGTGTAGGTTTTTAGGGATTGGATATCTTGGAAAGATTTCAATTCTCCCTCACTGATGAAGCTTAGCTTGGCTGGGTAGGTTAATCTCAGTTGAAATTGTTTATCTTTTAGAACTTTGAAGATAGGGCTCCAAGCTCCTCCTAGCCTGCAGGGTTTCTGTAGATAAATCTGCTGCTATTCTAATTGGTCTTCCCTGGTATGTAGTCTGACCTTTTTCTCTGCAGCTTTTAGGATTTTTTCTTTTATACCTACTTTGTTTAGATGAATTATTATATGTCTTAGAGTTGGTCTTCTCATTTGTTGTCTTGCAGGGATTCTCTGAATCTCTTGTGTTTGAATTTTTTCATTCTTAATGAGATGAGGGAAGTTTTCTTGAATGATTTCATGAAATGTTTGTTCCAATGTGGCCTCTGTTTCTCTCTCTGCCTCAGGAAGGCCAATTACTCTTAGGTTCGGTCTCTTGAAGTGATCATTCATCTCTTGAAGGTTTTGTTCTGTCTTTTTTAGCTTCTTTTCTATGCTTTTGACAGTTTGGGTTAGTTCTGTGTTTTGGTCTTCGAGCTCTGAGATTCTTTCTTCTGCTTGGCTGATTCTGCTTTCCATGCTTATTAGTTTGTTATTTATTTCCATCACAGTATTCTTTACTGCTGTTATTTCTGACATCAGCTCCTTCCTATTTTCCTCTTGTCTCTCCTCAATTTTTTTAATTCTCTCTATTAATGTCTTGATGTCTGGGTTTGTTTCATGTGACCAGTCATTCTGGGGGCTCTTCATTGTTTGTGTTCCAGAATCTGTTTTCTCAGTGTCAGATCTCCCAGGGGTCAGTGTGAGACCTATATTCTTTTGGTTTCTCTTCATTTGTGTGGTTTTTTTCCCCCTCCCTAATTTTTCCTTCCCTCCACATCACCCTCTTCTTTAATTCTGTTATTCAGGGGTAGAGGGATTGCTTTTACTTCTGTTTGTTCAATCTCCTATTCTTCTTATGTATGCCCTCTTACTTTGTTCAATTCTGGAGTTGCACTGTAGGTTGGGGGTGGTCCTTTTTGCAGTTTTGAGATTTACTTGTGGTGGGAGCTGTGATTCAAAATCTATCTGCAGGTCCTGGTATTCGCCAACAGGTTTATGGATAATCTGAAACCCACTTCCCACTACCTTGGAATCTGTCCATGCAGTGTGGCTGTAGGTTTACTCCCTGAAATAAAATGTGGTTAGCAGAGGGAAGAGAATGGAGCAGACAGTGGGGGGGAAAAGGGGGTGGAGAGATAGAGCAGTAAGGGGGGAAACAAACGAGTGTACCAACAAATGGATAGAGAGACCTAAACTGAAACAGATAAAAACAGTGGACCACAGCTACAGACTAACCAACTCCCATACAAAAAAAATAAAACATACAATGATGCTAACATACAAGCTAACCAACCACCTTATTGGTGTGCTGTTCCTCTATACAAAGATATGGTTTGCAGAGAGCAGAAAAGAGAAGAAAAGGAAGAGGAAAAAAAGAAAAAAGAAGGAACAATGCAGTAGGAATAGAATCAAGTCATTAAACTAACAGATCCAATCGAGCATATTCTGAGACTTTTCATTTAAGTCCAATGTCCTTTCTCCTTTGATTTCTAGCTTTCTTTTCAAGCTGGTAAATTAGTTCACAGTTAGGGTCGGTTGCCCCTGGCCTGCTGTGAAGGACAGTTCAAATCACCCTCCATTCACCACTCTGGTCTGTGTCTGTTTTTCAAGCTTGTTTCTCCCATTTTGGTGTTGTTACCCTGAATCGCCAGCAGGTGGTGCTATCTCAGGTGCTCGCCCCAGAGGGGGTGGGGCCGGACAGGAACCAGCAGAGGCTGGAGATTGAAGCCTGCCTCAGGGCACACGGGAGGAGACCCATGGCAGGCAAGATGTCATGGTTGCAGGAGAGGTGGCAGCAATCCCAGCAGATCTTGCCTGCAGGGGCTTCAAGGACTGAAGTCGTGGATCACCTCAGGCATGGGTGGTGGTGCGATGTGCTATGGCTGCCAGGAGGCCATGGCGGCACCTGCGGCTGCTATGTCTGCCCTGCAGTGGCTGTCCAGACCGCTGCCATGCCCCTTGCCACCGCTGGGTGGTGGCAATGGCCCAGCTCTCTGTGAAGAGCAGGCTGCGATGTTGGGGTCCACGGCCCCCGGGGAGAGAGCCAGAGACCCTCTGCGTTCTCATTTGCAGAGCGTTTCATAGACCAGGTTGCCCCATCGCCATCTTGCTGGAAGTCCGGGTCACAAATCTTAACACAGATTAGTTTACTGGTTTACATCAATCTTGAAAGAGGGGTGTAGAAAAGGAATAAGAGAAATAAGCATCTTTGAGGGGGTGGGAGGGTAAAGGGGACAAGAAGAACTGGAGCAAAGGAAATCAAATCTGGGGACACTTTCTCTTCTGTATCGTTTCATTTCATGGTGGCTCTGCAGTTACCTGCCTGGATTAACCAATCTGTGAGGGAAAGGGAATGAAACAAGAAAAGCAGTGAGAGAAGGAAGACAAAGAACAAAAGAAGAGGAGGGTGAAGGGAAGGACTGATTTGGGAGAAATGAAGCTGCAGTTAAGCTAGGTAAAGCATGAAGCTTCTATAAGATATATCCCCTGCTCCTTCCTCCAGTTTCATGGTGCTCTACTCTCCCTTCACAACCTTGGCTGAGGGGCACTGGCTTTCTTCACATTCTTAGGGTAGATCTCTTTTCCATCTCAGACTTCTTTAGATACAAAATTCCCTTTGTGTGAAGCTTCTGCCCTCTTAGCACTTACCCTTGAAGTCTTAACTTATGAGAGGTGTTTCTGGAGCCCTATTTTAAATGAGACCTCAGGTTACCTGCTGATTAGGGTTTATCACAGCTTGCAATTGTGCATGTATTTGACCGATCACGTGTTTAATCTATTGCCTCTAGTTCATATGATCCATGAAGCAGAGACGGTATCAGTGTCTTTCACATTCTACCCATGTGGCCTACCAGAGTCATTCTGCAAAATCTGTCAAATAGATAACCAATGGTTTGAGAAGTTCAATAAAAGCACTTTAATTTTTGTTCTTTGGGCTATGAATATTCACAGAGTGGCTATGATTAGTGCTATCAAAATAGAATTTGTCTATCTATAGATTTATAAATTCATATGAAAATATATTATATCGATCTATATGTTTAAACTGAAAAAAAATTGAACAGGGAATTTCGATAGATGCCTAACTCACAGTGGCTCCGTATTGCAGGTTGGAATTGTACAGTATGGAGAAAATGTGACCCATGAGTTCAACCTCAATAAGTATTCTTCGACGGAAGATGTACTTGTTGCAGCAAATAAAATAATCCAGAGAGGTGGCCGCCAGACCATGACAGCCCTTGGAATAGACACAGCAAGGTATATGGATTTAAAAAAAAAAAAGTAAAAGACTATGCAAAATAACTTCCTATGATTTAGCCCTTTGGAGTTTACTATGGAAATATTTAAAGTTGTCTTGTTTAAAATTAGGTTAGGAAGATTAGATTACAAGATCAAATGTTTCTATAATACTGTCTCATCATCCTTATCTTTTCCTTATTATAAGAATATAATTGCTGGTTAAGCAATTTTTAAAAATCTAAAAAAAGGTCTATTGCCTCATGTTCTTGGGTACTAAGACTTAATGTTAGTTAATATTTGTTTCATTTATTCTTTGTTTTCAGTTGCTAGGAGTCTCAGCCTAAAAGAATGGATGAAAAATAAGTCTACTTCTACTCAATGTATATTTATATTCTAGAACGTCCATATATTTTCAGGACTTGATTTGGAATTACTGAAGCTCTGTGATAAGAGTTTTGAGGGGTCAGGTTAAATATTGTCTATTTGAAATTATTTTCAGTGCAGAGATTGAAAGGAAAGGAAAGGATTTTATCATTCATCATGTTCTTTCTCCTTCCTTGCTTTCTTTAAATTCCATCCAATTTACCTTCCTACCTTTCCTCCTTCTGTAGTTTCCTTCATGGGCAGCATAACCTGCTCTGTGGTTAAATTTTATTGTATAAGAATCAAAAGAACTGTCCTCTCTTACAAATGCAGAACATTTTATCTGTATTTTCTATTATCTCATTCAGCTCTTATCTCCTGCTATTTTACTTTTTAGTCACCATGAAAGTTAGCAAGTTCTGAACAAAAACTAAGCAATAGCCAAATCATAAGAAATCTAATAAAGTAGTTTGACTCATGTTAAGAATACTTCCGTTAAATGTCCACTTTCTGAACTCTCACCTGATTTGGAAGAGCTAATTACTCATGCTCTCACTGCATGTCTGCTAAGATCAGTGTTTTTAGGAGGTTAAAAGAGTTGATATAGATCCTCCAAAGAACGGGTTGGATATTCAGAAACTTAAAATTTCATATGCAGCTTTTGCCTCATAAATGTTAGAAAAGCATGTGGTTCCAGTTATATGGGGCCCAAGAGAAAATAACCACAAACACATGGGGTAATTTGACATTTACCTACACATAAGATCATCAATTTGCATGCACAAAGAGCACACATGTTTAGGTGTACTGAATGCACCCTCTGCAATAATTGACTAAATGTGCCTGCACATTCAGAGTAATTCAAAACATTCTTTGAAACTTCTCAGACTGTAGGGAGCTGTGCATTTTCCAAAGGCAACCACTTAAGAATGAATATTCATCTTTGAAAACTAACTGGAGAAATATTCTGGCTGCTTCTGCTCCTGCATAAATACCACTCTAAATACTATGTCCCTATATGGTTTTTGCCTCTTTGTTCACAAAGGGTCTAGTTGTTTATTGAGTTTTGATTATACATAAAAAATCCATAGTAATAGTAGTAAGTATTTTCTCATACATTAACTGGGGTTTTTTCTTTTATGCCTAAGCATATTTTTAATTGTTTTTTATTCCTTTCAGGCGGGGACAGTTGCAAACAATTTTTAATTTTTTAGAATCCTTTACCTTGATTTCCAGTAACTCCCAGTTCAAATTTGTGTGTGTGTGTGTTCCTTTCTCCTTATCCCAAATTTTGATTTCTGCCAAATTTTTATTTCATATAGTATTTCATCATAAGACTTAGATTCTCCAGTTCCAAAGAAAGGAACCCTCCTGGTATATTTTAATTTATCAAAGCATGTATGAAAGGCAATACTCAATTTCATGAAAGGACACTGGATACTAATAATTTGGGGGACAAAGACAGAAAGTGTGTACTCAGAAGTTGTGGCCTTGACTACTCTTCTATACATAAAGCCAGCCCTGGTTACACAACAACCAGTTTTTCTTTAAGAAAAGTCTCTTAATTGTCTCTTTCAAGTAATGGTCATTCCGTTTAGTTATAACCCTGGTCTTTAAGAGAATTAGAACATTTTGATGATCCTTCTAGGAATCTAAACTGTAAAATGATTGACTAATATGATATTCACACCTAAACTTCTGTTAAAGACTAGCCTTAAAACATCTTTGTTATATTAAAAAGGTCAGAAAATCTATGTGTATGGTATGTTAAAATTATTCTATTATAATTTTTCAAGAAGGTAAGGAAGACTTCATTCAAAAGAGACTACTGCAATGGAGGTTTTACAATAAGGAAGAGAGATTGGGCTCATCTCTGAATACAAGGACAAGTGGGGATTTTGGGCCAAGGAGCAGGGTAGGGGAGAGTGGGTGGAAAGTTACAAGAAGAAACATCAAAGCTAGGAGTATTCTTGTTAGACTCACTCAACAGGATTTTTGCAGACAAATAGTAGGGAAAAAAATCAAACTGTTTTTCTCTTTAAATACTCTCAAAGCTTAACACTTCTAACTCCAGATTTGTGGATTTTTTTTTCCCCATGCTGACCAGTTATCTGACACCAGCTGGCTATCCTACAATTCTGACACCAAGCAGAGTTAGTGCAGACCTCCCACAGGTTAAGTGCTTACTATAAGACTTCTCCACACTTTAGATGCCAATTGCAATCTGTAAGTTTCCAAGTTACCCACAATTTCTGTCCAACTTGGCTACAAATCAGAGGTTCCTGTGGTTCCTTCTTGGGTTCGATTACTTGCTAGAGTAGTTCGCAGGACTCAGCAAAGCACCTTACTTACTATTACTCATATACTATAAAAGGATACAACTCAGGAACAACAAGAGATGCATAACACAAGGTATGAGGGAAAGGAATCATAGCTGTCATGACCTCTTGGGATTCACCTCCTTCCATATGTTCAGCCACATCAAAGCTCTTCAAACCCCATAGTTCAGAAATTTTTATGAAAGCTTGATCACATAGCCATGATTAATAATTAACTCAGTCTCTATCACTTCTCCCCTTTCTGGAAACTGGAGCTAAACGTTCCATGCTTCTGATCACGGTTTGGCCCTTCTGGTGACCAGCCCCATATAGGAGTTCACCAAGAGTCATCTCATTGGAACCAAAGACACTCCTATCTCCCAGAAAATTCCAACAGATTAGGAACTCTATGTCAGGGAATCAAAGACCAACTATCAGAACAAAAGATGTACCTAGCCCCACTATCACTCAGGAAATTACAAGAGTTTTAGGAGCTCTGTGCCAGAAACCAGGAACAGAGATTAAATATATATTTCTTATTTGTTAAAAGAAAACTTTAGACAAATTAAATTTAATAGAGTTTATTTGAGCAAAGACTATTTCATGAATCAAGAAGTACCCAAAACCAGAAGAGGTTCAGAAATCTCCACTTTAGCTACATGAACAGTGAGTGAGTTTTAATGGTCTGAATGCAGATGTAAAGTAAAAAAAAAAAAAAAATTGCTTGTTTGGCTCCAGCTGGGCATTTACCTTATTTGGGTATGATCTGGTGGAAAGTTCCTAATTAGAGGTTAGTTGGCAGTTTCTGGGCCTTAACAAAGTCTCTAGCTAGAGGTTAGTTGGTGATTTCTGATTGATAGAGTTTAAGTTTTGTTACTGTTTACATTGAATGGAGTTTTATTTTGCTTACATATAAACCTAAAATATTGAAGTTGTCTCAGTCTAATGACCTATCAATCAGTTTTTTATTCATATTATATCATAATATCATGGGCTAAGGTAATAAGATCTGAAGGGCAGAGAATGAGAAATTTGATCAGATACCAAGAGTAGGGGGATTTTCAGTAAATTGACTCAGCAGGATTCTTGCTAAAACTGGACTAAGTGGGCCAAGGATAGAGTCCAAGGTCTGAGACTAGTCTAGAACAGGACTTAGAGGAACCTGACTCAGTTTTGATCAAGGAGAGAATCTTTGGCAAGTATAGAGGACAGAGATATACAGCTCCCCAATTTTATTTTTAAAATAGCATTTTTTTTCATTTTGAAAAATTTAAGAAAAATAGAAATATATAAATATTGTAAAACCCTGAGTCCATTACACAGAATTGATAGTTGTCACCATCTTGTCATGTTTCTTTTAAGTCCTTTTAAAGGAAAAATAATCACAGCTAAAATCCCTTTGGCACATCACCAGAATCCTCTCCCCCTGCCCAAAGATACCAACTACAGTGCATTTACTGTGTACCTATGGTACAATTAATGTGTATTGTGTAAACTGTTTGGAATGTTCATTTAAAAGAAGTGTTTCTTTGACATATCCCAAACTGCAGCTGTTCATCCTTATGACCAAAGTAAAGTATCTAGAGGGGTCATTCAGTATAACAATTGCTGTACTTTAAGCTGAAATCTTAAAAATAGTATATAAAATCTTTTCATTGTTTCAGTCTTAAATAAAATATATGTATCTTTTCCAAGACTCTAGAGAGGAAAGTTATTTGGAAAAATAAAAGGAAATAATAGACAGGTGGGAAAGTATGTGTATGTGTATGTACAGGATACATAAACCATGTCTATTTACCATATCCTCTGCCTATTTCCACACATACTTGTTGAATTAGATTGAAATTCCTTTCTTTGCAGTTAGGGTTACAGTATTTTGTCTCTCTCTCCATGCCATCACTCTCAGCAGTCTGTGTCCTAAGACCTACTTTACACCAAATCTTTTATAACTCCTCCAACCCCTTCTTGTCTCCTAAAATCCTACCAACTACTCAATTGACTCAAACCACTGTTGTCAGCAATCTTTTATTCCTATGTCTGATTTTGCCCTCATAGCCAAAACGCTCTCAAGCACTCACAGCCCCACAAATATTCTGTTCCCTCTCATCTCTCTTCTTCAGATCAGATTTCTAAGCTGTTCTATAAATATCAGAGTAGTATGAGGGAAGTGAGATTTCAAGCAAAAGTTTCCACCAAAAGCAGAAAAAAGGAGGTCTGTCAAGTGAAGGAAGGGATGTTTATAGAAAAAAAAGCAGCTGGGAGAGTGTTTACAGATATGACCTTCTCTGAACCTGATGTATGTCTCAGTCACACCTTCCCTTCGAAGTTTCCAAAGAATAAAATACTGCTGCCTTTTTACAAATGGGATGTGTGGCAATTAGCAAAATAGTGACCGCCTCATCATCTGGAGTACATCTAAAACTATTACAAATAAGGATTATCGTGCTCCCAGCTTGAACAATGGGCATTGATGTGGATTTTCATGGAAAGCACCAGGTTACCTAGAGGTGTTCATGTTTTAATTTGGTTTCTCACTTTTCCTGATCACAAAGTGATGTTTTAACAGCCTCTCTTTTGTCTGTGATTATTTCAGAAAGGAAGCATTCACTGAAGCCCGGGGTGCCCGAAGAGGAGTTAAAAAGGTCATGGTTATTGTGACCGATGGTGAGTCCCATGACAACCATCGACTGAATAAAGTCATCCAAGACTGTGAAGATGAAAATATTCAACGATTTTCCATAGCTGTGAGTACATTGCTAGAGATGGTTTTCAAATTCTTGTGTAAAGAGAAGAGCTGTGTGCATATTGTAGTAGTTTTATGAAAGTTACACAGTGTTGGATGGGGGAAATGTATCCATTTGAAGGTAAACTATGTGAGGGCAGACGTGGGTTTCGCTTTCTTCTATGTCCTTAGTGTGCAGAACAGTGTCAGGCCAAACAGACTATCAACAAAACAATTCTTGAAAGAAAGAAGAAAAATAACAAGGAAAGATGAAAGGAAGAAAAAGGAAGAAAAAACCGAGAAGATTGAAAGGATGAGAAAAAGAAAGAGACAGAAATAAAAAGGGAAAAGAGAAAGAGAAAAGGAAGGGAAGAGGGTGAGAAGGAAGAAAAAAGATAGAGGAAAAGAAGGAAGATAGAAGTGACGGAATACAAAGAAGGAAGGAAAGAAGGGAGGACGTGAAATATATGCTAGGCAATAACTACATTGCCTGCTAATTAATACTTTTCCTAAACTTGGGAGTCTGGAATCAGGACATGACTCATAATAAACTATGAAAAGTCAATAAGGATATTTCCATACCTACAAGTCCTAGACAGTCTATCCTGGGCCTTATGACATTTAAGGTTATGAAGTTTCCCAGAAGTGAGAAGGAGAAGGGTGGAGTAGGGACAGACAGAGGACACTGTATTTTAGAGCCAGAAAGACCTTTGTGCAAATTCTTCCTTCGCTATGTACTAGCTATGTCATTAGCAGACAAGCTACTTAATATTCTGAACTTCAGCTTCTTCATATGTAAAATGAGGTCATAGTATTTCTCTCTCTTTATCTCTCTTTCTCTCTCTGATAAAGAATCAGTGAGATAATGATTGTGAAAGCATCTATCACAATGACAAGCTAAACACTTAATAAAAGTTGTATGTAAAATGAGGTCATAGTATTTCTCTCTCTTTATCTCTCTTTCTCTCTCTGATAAAGAATCAGTGAGATAATGATTGTGAAAGCATCTATCACAATGACAAGCTAAACACTTAATAAAAGTTGTTTTTTTGTTTTTGTTTTTTTTTGAGTAGGAATCTCACTCTGTCGCCCAGACTGGAACCAGCCACTGCAGCCTCGACCTGCTGGACTCTGGCGATCCTTCCGCCTCAGCCTTCCAAGTAGCCAGAATTCCAGATGCACGCTACCAGGCCCCACTAATTTTTTGATTTGTTGTAGAGATGAGGTCTCACCAAGTTGCACAGGCGGGTCTTGAACCCGCGGGCTCAGGCAATCCACTCACCTCGGCCTCCCAAGGCGCGGGATTACAGGCTGAGCCACCGAGCCTGGCCATAAAAGTTATTTTTATTAGGCATCTTTAACTTATGGAGTTTGCAACCAACCATGAACGAATGAAACCATGGTATTTTTGTGTTAGGAAGGATCTTAGAGATAAATTATATTGCTCTCTTGCTCAGAAAACCTTCAGCAATTCCCTCACAGACTATATGACTCAACCGTTGAATCCAGACTTCCTTTCTAACTCCTTTGCTTTCAATTTCGTAGTATTTGCCTTCAGCCTGGGGAAAACAGAGCCTTCTCTCTCCTCTTAAATTAATTGACTTTTTAAAAAGTCTGGGCAAAAATTCAGAATTCTAAGCATTCAACCTAAACTATTTTCAACAAAACCTTTTTTATTTACAATAAGTAATAATCAGATATTACCCACATTGCTTTTTCAGCAATCAGTGAGATTTTCTTCTTTCCTTTCAAAAGTCTGAACATAATAGGGAGGGAAGAAAAAGACATTGCACATTCATTCCTAGATAAAAGTCCAAGGACATGATTGATTTATTGCTTCCCAGGAGCAAGGTGCTCCTTATTTTATAACCAAGATGTCTTGGTTATAAGTAGTGATGACTTCTACTACAACTTTTTTTTCCATCTGAAGTGTAAGATGAAAAAACAAAAGAGAAAGAAAAAGAAAGAAAGAAAGAAAGAAAGAAAGAAAGATCTCATTATTTCTCTCATTTTCTTTGTTGTTACTTATATAAATTATCTTTTGCCAATTATTTTTGAATCTATTATTACCTCTCCTGTTACTACAATATAACTATTTTGATCTCTGCCATGACTGAACATAGTCCATATGACCCAGTCTTCACTCAGAGATACTTTCCAAATGGTAGTGACTATTGGAGTCTACAGCTAGTCTCTTCAGCAAACAAAGCCAGTGGATGTTCAGTTTGTCCCAGACATCTGGACATCAAAGATGCTGTTACTCGTTAGGCCTACTCCCCAAGGAGCATCATGGATGCAGGCCCTGGACAATTATTAACCATCATTAGAATTAGCAGCATTAGCAAGACTTTCACTGGAAAGAAAATATCAATGAATGACTGAATGACTTTTCTATTGTAAATGCATCTTGTGTCTTACACTGCATCTGGCTACATATTCAGTATTTCCTGCCCTTAAGTTACTGTATTTCCCTTTCTGAATTCGTAGTTGAGAATTCAGACTTTGCCTCCCAACTAGTCAAAAAGAAGTCTCATAATTCCATTAATCTTCATGAAGAACCATGCAATCAGCTGTTCCTTTCCCATTTTATTAGTGAATTATTATCAAACTGCTCTTGGAAGTGGTATAAATAAAAATGTATAGAAAACTTTCACTTAATGTTTTTTGTAATTTTTCTTAATTCATATTTATTTTTCTCCAGTGAATCAAATTTTTTTTTAAATTTTGCATCAAACTAGGAAATAAGAATTATTTTACTTCTAATTTGTGCATTAACACAGATAAGTATTTCTTGAGGTCTATTCATACTGCACACAAATATACCTGGGAGTCTGGCCAAGTAATTGCCTGGACTGTTCCTTCTGCTCCATTTTTTTTTCCCATCATTTGATCATGAACACTACAGAGACATGTATCTCTCCAAAAGGATTGAGTGTTGATATTATAAGCACCCTAAGGTAAAACTACAAACACGTTCTGTTGAACTTTCAGATTTGGTGAGGGTCCTGAGCTGGTTTGGATTCCTTCTTTCTGTGGTCTCTCTATTTCTGTCACTTGAAGATACTAAACATTGTTAGAAGGGTACTGTTTTATGTTCAGGATTTAATCTTAGGTGATAATGACTGTGAGCAGTATATCGCCTACAGCATTCAAGTGAAAATAAAAGACATAAGGAAGAATCGTAGAATTTCATTTAGTTTTCACACAAAATAAACTGTACTATGTGTAGTAAATGAATTATATACTTTACATTTAACACATATTGCCTCAAGGAAACTTCAATTCTGAATGTCTATTATAGGTAAATATTAGCATAATAGAAAATGTGTGGGCTTGACATGTTTGTACTAAGTGAAACAGGAATAATTTAGAAGCTTTTTAAAAAATATTTTCTGGCCGGGCTCCGTGGCTCAGCCTGTAATCCCGCACTTTGGGAGACCGAGGTGAGTGGATTGCCTGAGCCCGCAGGTTCAAGACCCACCTGGGCAACTTGGCGAGACCTCATCTCTACAATAAATCAGAAATTAGCCGGGTGTGGTAGCACGTCCCTGTAGTTCCAGCTACTTGGAAGGCTGAGGCGGAAGGATTGCTGGAGCCCAGCAGGCCGAGGTTGCGGTGACCAGGAGTATGCCACTGCACACCTGTCTGGGTGACAGAGTGAGACTCCAACTCTCTCTCTCTATACACACACACACACATACACACACACATATATATTTTTTTTTCTTATTCACAGAAAAGTGTTTTTACAAGTTACCAGAACTTTGGGTGAAGGATCAAAATACTCTCTATTTTAATTTTTATTCTGTGACATAAAATATTTCAAAACTGTATGCAGATCACAGTAACTTCTAAGTTTTTTCACTTTTATTTTTCTCTAAATATATACTCCAATACAAGCTGAGTATCTCGTCTCCAAAATGCTTGGGACCAGAAGTGTTTTGGGTCTCAGATTTTTAGATTAAGGTTGCTCCACCTATACTGCATTTATAAATTTAATTTTCATTTTTTAAAGTATGTCACTTAGCCATTTTTTCCTGTTGAACTTTACCCATTTGTCTCTATGCTATCACAAACACAGTGCCACTAGATGTCTGATAACACATCACAACTAAGAACCTCAGTCATGCATGTTCCTAAAGTCCTTACATTTTAAAAAATATGTATCTTTGATTGCATCAATTTATAAATAAAATGAAATTAATGCATCAGTCTAATAGCAAATCTAGAATGTGCTAAATGAGAATCAAAGAGAAAAGACAATGATGTTTCAGTCAGGAATGTCATGTAATCTATAGAATAAAGTAAATAAATCAGTGGAGACTCAGATGTCTTCCTCATTCTGAATCTAAAAGCAGGAGCAAAACTGCTGACAAAGAAAGGAATCCAGTGGTATGTTCACTGCTGTCATGTTGTAATGGATGTACTATTTCCTCTGGAGCTTAGAGACTCTTTCTCTTGCCTTTTCCATGCTTACTCTGGGTCATGCACATCCCAGCTGTGGTGAGATATCTGATTGTAACAAAACCATCTTAATTGTTTTTAAATATGTTCAGTGTAATAAGAGCAGTGGTCACTAGGTTTCCCCTCCTTATTTGAACTATCCTCTATTATCTTTTCCATTAATTCTTTCTCCATTACTTAGCTAAAGTAGGGGGAAGTGACAGTGGTCTCTGTTCAAATGTTAACAGCTTCTGATATTTGGCATTCTCTTTTCAGCAAAACAGACAAGAATTTAATTTTGTGTGTGTGTGCGATTTGTAAACTCTTGGTATAGACCTTTCTACCTGAAGTCTGTACATCCTAGAGGAGAATAAGTTCAAAATATTTAAAAAGCTGCCCAAATGGCATACCAGTACCTTAGAGTCAGCCCCAGTTTTCTTTAAAAGTGTACTTCTTAAGAACAGCTTACAGTTTCTCACAGAAATTCATACATTACTCCTGTAACCTTTTTTAACAAGTCAGAGGGCTAAGAAAGAGGCTAGGGCACCTTGTGACTTGGGAGCGTCTTAGAGTACAGGGGGACTCTGAGGTTGAGACCACAGATATTTCCTCCAGCCTAGTCACTGATATTCCCCAGGGAAAGGGGTGAGAGGGTTACTCAAGCAAGGGGAGAGAATCAGAACTAAATCTACCACTGCCTTCTCTCTGATAAAGAGCATTCGAAAACCACTGCTGTGTCTGCCTGACTAGATGGTGTACAATCATTTTCTCACATTAACATTTAGTGTACATTATTGTAATTCAACCATTGCGCTAAACAGCTATCTTTTTATGATACAAATAAACAAGTCTTTTGTGGGTCATAAACAACAATACTTTAAACACTAATTGTAGTTATTTTCTAACTTTCCATAAGTGAAAATCTATATCCTTTTTAATCAGAATATGGGTGTTTTAATCTACCATTTTAAATCTGACATTTAAAATACATGTAGACTTGCAGAGGCAGGCAATCTACTCGGGTGGGTGGGAGGAGGCTTGAACCTGGAGGAGAGGGGGAGAGAACAACCCAGGGACCCACATGTCTATTATCCTTCCAGGCCACAGTACAGAACCATGGTCTGAAGGATGCCTGAGGACTACTTTGCAACAGGATTTTGGAGGCATCATGGAGCCCTCCATTTTTAATGCCAGACAAGGCTAACTAGTACTGGAAAATGAAAAGTGAAGCTAGAAAATTCCAGTGTCTTCGTCATCATTGGAGGTCAGGATTCTCCTTCTCCTCAGAGGAGTTGGAGATTCTAAAAAATCAAGCAGCAGCAGCACAGGGCTCCAGGTCTTTTCCATTGCTTTCTGGATTCAGGAGTACAACTGTGAATTAATCATGATTCTTGTCTCAGGTCACATTCTGATCATTTGTGGAAGCATGGCCCTAATGTTATAAGCATCCACGGAATGAGAGCTAGCTCTCTTCTCTGACAACTGCCTCTGACCACCTTTACCACCTGCCTTACTCCACCTGGTTAACCATCAGCCCACATTGTACCCATAAGCCCTTACTCTAATTTTTAAAATAGTCTTTCTGCATTCATACATATCTGAAAAACCAAATTTCGAGAATATGTGTAAAGTTCAAACTTTATAAAATGGGTGTCATGTTGAACATAATATTTCAGAACCTTTATAACCTAATACCATATTAAGATTCATCCATATTGTTTCATGTTCATATAGTTCACTCAGTTTTTTAACAATTGAGATGGTATTTACATTATAGTGAAATGAAAGTTGCCGTTGTGAACAATTTGATGAGTTTTGGCAATTGTGTACACCCACATAACTAACACCCCAGTGAAGAAATAGAGCAATTCCATCAGCCTTAGAAAGTTCTTGTGTGCTTTCTTTTTAAAATTTTTAATTTTTATGAATACATCATAGTTATACTTATTTATAGATGTGATATTTTGATACAACTATATAGTAGTTTGATACAACTATATAGTATGTAATGATGAAATCTGGATAATGGGGAAATCTATCACCTCAAGCATTTATCCTTTCTTTGTGGGGAGAATTTCATATCTTTTCTTCTAATTATTTTGAAATATACAATAAATTATTGTTAGTTATAACTGTCCTATTGTGCTTCCAAACGCTAGATCTTATTCTTTCTATCTAACTATATTTTTGTACCCATTAACCAACCCCTCTTTATCCCCTACTCCCCACTACCCTTTCCAGCCTCTTGTCTCCACTATTCTATTCACTCCTCCATTCTATTCACTACCTTTCATATTTTAGTGAGAACTTGCAATATTCGTCTTTGTGTGCCTGGCTCATTTCACATAACATAATGTTCTCTAGTTCCATCCATGTTGCTGTGATGACAGGATTTCATTCTTTTTTATGGCTGACTAATATTTAATTGTGTATTTATACCACATTTTATCAGTTGTTCATTGGTGAACACTGTGAATAATGCTGCAATAAACATGGGAGTGCAGATATTTCTTTAATATACTGTCTTCCTTTCTTTTGGATATATACCCACAATGGGAGTTTCTTTCATTTTTGACAATAAGCTCCTATTGTAACCATTGATGTGACATACCACCATAGCTTATATAGGATGCCTATTCTTGAATTTTATATAAACGAAATCCTATAGTATGCACTCTGTAGTTAGCTTCCCACTCAGTATAATTATTATTCATAATAGTTAATGAATTGGTGATTTGTTCTTTTGTTATTATTAATATTATCCATTGTGTATATCACAATTTGTACTCTACTATTTATGGAAACTTTGGTTGTTTCCAGTTTGGGTTATTATAATAAAAGAGTGATGACCACATACACACACACAAAGTAAAAACAAAAGTAATAATCTTTAAGTAACACTTGCAATGGGATGAAAACTGAAATTTTATTTCTTATTATGAAAAATATATATTTTTGTAAAAATATTTTAAAAATATATTTAAGTAAATATAAAGAAAAAACACCTAGTCGCCTCATATGCAGAAATAAAAATAATAAATTATGTATAAATTTTTACCTTTTTAAATGCTAGCTATGCAATTTAAAAGTAGAATTAGGTCTATATTTACATATAGGGGATTAACTTTTTTTGAATTTTAAAAATTTACATGTTGTGGGCAATTCCTTTGGATCCCCTCCCACTGTGGGAGCCTTTCTGTCCTCTCAATAGAGGCTTTCTTAAATATATATATATATATATATTTTTTTTTAAATATATATATAAAAATATTTTAAAAACAACATGTTGTTTTTAAAAGATTTTTTATTAACTTAAACATTTTCATATTAAAAGCTAAATTTCAAGAAATTTTTACACTAAAAACTAGATTTTTTAGGCAGAAAAAAGCACAATCCTTAAAAAATTAGTCAGACTGCATCGAAATTTAAAACGTCAGCTCTTCAGATGATACTGTGAAGAAAATGAAAAGACAACCTACAGGCAGGAAGAAAGTATCTGCAAAACATGCAAAGATTTGTATGCAGAATATATAGAGAGCTCTTACAGTGCAATAAAGAGAAAAATAAACATCTCCTTTTTCAAATTGACAAAATATTTGAACAGAAACCACACCAAAGGTTGGGGGGAGGGGAACTATGGCAAATAAGCCCATGAAGGAGTCTCAACATCATTAGTCATTAGGGAAATGCAAATTAAATAAGATACTACTACATACCAATTTAACTGCAAAAACTAAGACAAGTGAACAAATAAGAAAACTGACAATACCAAGTGTTGACAAGAATGCAGCGCAACCAGATCTCTCAAACAGTGCTGTTGGGAGTGGTAAAATGGCAAATGGAACAATTACTCTGGAAAATAGTTTAGCAGTTTCTTATAAAATTAAACAATCACTTACTATATGGCCCAGCACTCCCACTCTTAAGTCTTCACTCAAGAGAAAAGAAAATATATGTCTATACAAAGGCCTATGTGTGAATATTTATAATAGCTTTATTTATAATATCTTCAAACTGAAAACAACCCAAATGTTCCCGTTAAATAAATTGTGATGCATCCATACAATGGACTCCTACGTGACAATTAAAAGGACCAAAGTACTGATACATGCAGCAACATGGATGACTCTCAAAAACATTATACAACGTTAAAGAAGCCAGGCTGCTGGGCTCGGTGGCTCAACCTGTAATCCCAGCACTTTGGGAGACCAAGGCAAGTGAATTGCCTGAGCCCGCAGGTTCGAGACCCACCCGGGCAACTTGGCGAAACCTCGTCTCTACAACAAATCAAAAATTAGCCGGGCGTGGTAGCGTGCACCTGTGGTTCCGGCTACTTGGAAGGCTAAGGTGGAAGGATCGCCAGAGCCCAGCAGGTCGAGGCTGCGGTGACCAGGAGCGTGCCACTGTACTCCAGTCTGGGCGACAGAGTGAGACTACAACTCAAAAAAAAAGCCAGGCACAAAATGCTACATATTATATGATTCCTTAAATATGTCATTCTGGATAAATCAAAGCTATGGGGACAGAAAATTGATCAGTGGTTACCAGCAGCAGGCATGGGGAGGAAGGCATTGACTGCAAAGAGGCAAGAGGGAACTTTTTGGGGTGATGGAACTTTTCTATATCTCGATGTGGTGGTAACACAAATATATCAGTTTGTCAAAACAAGCATATCAGTTTGTCAGAACTCCTAGAATTGTACATTCAAAACAGTTGAATTTTACAGTATATAATCTCTAGCTCAATAAACCTTGCCTGAAAAAAAATTAAATGAGAAAACCTGCTGAGACATGTAAATCATTAACGGTTTACTATAACAGATAACCCCTGCTTCTGTCTCCTCTCTATAAAAAAAGAATGCAACTATCTTCAGCATTTGGTTTCAAACAGGAATTCCCCAATTGTTTATTTTATAGACTGACAATTTAGATTATTCTTTAGTCTAATGTATGTTTTAAAAGAATACGTGTTGGGCTGTCCCTTGGTAAGTTTCAGAAGAAGTTTCATTCAAGATCAAGCAACTCACTTGCCCATTGCTTTTGCTAGCAGATGATATTGTCACTAACTGGAATAATATTGGAGACATTCAGAAGCTATAACATTACTTTTGTACTGTCGGATTTTTAAAGATACAACTATTAATAAACAGGGACACAAAACGCAAGAGAAGAAATTTTCGTACTCCTGCAAGATTGCCCTTTACATTTTTCTACACCAATTGCAGGGTTTATGTAACAGTTAATATGAGAGAATCTACATATTCTGAAGATTACTTTTCCATAAATGTGGAAGTACATAAAAATTGCATTATGCTAAGGTACTCTGCTCTCTTGTTTACTGACAAAATGCTTGATATTTTTTATTCAGCACATAGAATTTAAAATATATTCTTACTGTTTCGGTTGTCTTAGATTCTTGGCAGCTATAACCGAGGAAATTTAAGCGCTGAAAAATTTGTGGAGGAAATAAAATCAATTGCAAGTGAACCCACTGAAAAGCATTTCTTCAACGTCTCTGATGAATTGGCTCTAGTCACTATTGTTAAAGCTCTGGGAGAAAGAATATTTGCCCTGGAAGGTATGACAATTTCTTCTATTTCTGCATGTTCTCTCTACAATTCATTCCCAATGTAATGAGATTCTTGTATTTAATTCTAGCACATCACTAATACATTGTTATTGTGTACAAAAGCCAGTGTGGAACAATGCCTTTCTATATAAATCTGTCGTTGAGATGGCTGTTTCTCACAGCACTGTGTCTGCTAGAAGCTCTCTTTGTAACAGCATGGCAAGGCAGTACTGGTGTGAGAGCCCATGAAAACAGTGGTTGATGCTGACACACAAGAACAAAAAATGTTTCCATGTGCTTTATTACTTTCCTGTGATATAAGTTTAGAAAATAGACATGGGGAGGGAGGGGCACATCTCATCAACAAGGGTACCTGCATAATGAACATTTGCATACCTAACCCTGAATTGTACCCCACATCTTTAAAATAAAGAAAAAGGAACAGGAAAAAAATAGACATACTACTTCAAGTTTTAGAGTTTTGTAAATTTCCTTCTTCGTTTCATTTTGAGCTGCTATGAGAGTGTTCTTAAGCAATCATGTCTCTGTTCATTTATTTTATCTGTAATTTGCTCCTTGCCCTTTTTAAAGGTCTTTGTGGAACCCTGCCTCAACTCCCATGGCAATGAAACATTGGTTCACTGTATTCATCTAAATTATATGACTTCTTTGTAGAATTTTCTTTGATTTTTCAATGGTGTCTGGCTGTTGAGGAGAATGAGTCATGGCATTCCCCCTCTGCCTTACGTAGAGAATGTCAAGTAACTACTTTGGAAGCAGATCTTTCCTGGCAAAAAGTCTTCAGACTGGTTATGCCAGGCAAACTGGCAAAGCTTCCCTTTTCGCGTTATTTGGTGATCTTTGGTCTTAAGAATATGTTCCTTTTCTCCACCTAGGAGGAGAAACCACCAGAAAATTCTTTTGCCCTTATGCTACATCCAAATTCAGTTGACTCTGTCTTTATGAGAACACACTAAGTTCCTGCATTTAAAAGTAGAATTTAAAAACACCTTCTTCATCTCCCTGATATATGAGGCAGAAAGATAAAATAGGAATAAGACATAACTGAGAAAGGGTGGACCATTTTGACTGAGCATATGAAGGGGCTAGGGAAATGCAGAAATGTGACTAACAAACAGTAATCAAAATGTATAAAAAGGAAAGAAAATAATTCAGAGTGACTGGGTTGCAATCGGTACTTAGATTGCTTGATTTAATGAGATAGGGATCTACAGTCCAGCCAGACTGAATTTCTCTGGCTTCTTTTTTCCCTGGCCCCTTTTCTTCTGTGCCTTCAGAAACAGGAAACTCAAATTGTTTATGAATCTGAAGTTGCAGCTGCTTCTGAAGAATTCAGCTGTCCTGTGCTCTGTGTACAAGTCATTTTTAAGTGACTTTAGTCTCTCAACAGCTATCCCGGTGTCATTTACCAATAAACCAGATTATGAGATTGGCTGGCAATAAGGAAAATGCATAAGGTCTTCCAAATCATTGTGTGCTTTTAATTTTTAATTACATAGGCCAAGATATGATAAAAAAAATCTGTAAAAATTGTTTAAAAGAAAAATTACTTAGTTATATTAGATAGTTAAACATAATACAGTGTCATTTCTAAATTTTATCTTAAGTAAACAAGTAACCTAAGACAGGCAGAAATGAAGTTTACTTTAGCTAGTGGGTAGAGGAGATCAAATTGCCTGAAATGACATGTTCAGGTTGTTTCTAACCGAATCACACCATGGGTTAAAGGTTACACATTGGAGTGCCCAAACACTCTAAGTCTCTATATTTAAAAAATGCAATCATGGTATAAAGAACTTTATAGATTAAAAAAGCCTTCTACATCTTTGTTGCTACACTATCAAGGCTAACCAAAAGCAGTGTTTTCACTATATTATTTCTTACTTTTTTCATAATGAGATCAAAAAAAGCTTTTATTTCCTTGTTTCTTGGGACATCTCTTTTTCCAGTCTTCATTTATCTTAAACTGAAAGAGCTGCAATTATGACAGTCCTGCTTGCCAAGAACAGTGCCACCTAATGTGGCAAGCATTCCAAGGACTCGCCTAATAAATCAGAAAATGGTCTAATGTCTCTCTTGCCCATTCAGCATTGGGAGAAATGCTGTAATTCCTAACCATAGGCGGCACGACTGGGGAAATTAGTTCAATGCTCATGAACAGTCCAGGGAGGAGTTTGCAGCAAAAAGTTCAGAGAGCTCTAATGAACTACTGTTATGATGCCTATGCACCAGGAAGAATGTCACATAGTTTCCTTCTCTCTGTTCTCAGAGGGAAGCAGAATAGCAGTAGGGTAGGCACTGGAAATATGCAAGTTTCTGCTGCTGCATTCTTATATTGATCTTGTAAAGATAAGTGAGAAAGCATCGTAAAGTACTGTGTATTTAAAATACATGCTTAAATCAAAGTTAAAGTGCATCTCAGTTATTTAAATTAGAGAGTAATTTGTATAATGAGATATTAAAATGATGTATTTGAATTATTGTTCAATTGCTACTACGTAATCTAGTCCTATAAAAAAGTGATTGCTAATGTATTTGTTCATAATTTTATGCAACTAAAATTGTAAATAAGTTTAATTTCACAAATTTGTTTATTCTCGTGCCTCAATAAAAGGACAGACTGACTTTTTAAAAATTAAGTGCTATTTTTAATATATCTGCAAGACCAAATAAAGCAGTAACTCCCTACTAAAAACAAGTAAATCAACATTCCATCAATTCCCTCAGGAATTGTGGCTTTGGGTTTGTGAATGCTTTGAGAATAATTTGAGAGTAGCATACTTCCATAGAATGTAATAGATGATCTCTCCATTTCAGTGAAGAATTTCAAAATGGGTATAGGATCTTTTAAAAATATGTGATTGAATGGCATGTGACCTGAAGCTCTATCAAAAAATCCCCTCCTGATCTATGGGTGATACCCACTGCCAGCAATTAAAACAAATACAAACTGAAATTCCTAAATCCTCAATCAAACAATGGAATTCTGAGAGGATCTATGGTCTGAAATATGAGTGGGACTGGTAGAGTTGAGAAACCCCTTCAAACATGTGAATGAAATTTTTTCAGCCCTCTAATATACTGAGTAATTTTATTCTGAGGACTTCGCAGGGTTCCCAGGGCATGAGTTGACACAGAAATTTCCTACTATGGTACATTAAGCTTAAACCTCATGAATTCAAACCACCATGGGATCCACAGCATGCTACAGTATGGGAATGGAGATTCTCAACTCCTCCAGCAGGGATGGGGAAATTAATGAGCGAGAATTTGAGACAGGACCCCTTTGACTAACCTTGCCTGTCTTCTATCCAGGCCTACCTAGACATTTTTGGTGAGAAATGTATGTCAGAAAGTGCCCTGAGATGTTAGAAATTCTGGTTGGTAGGACGTTAGGCTCTACACGGTCTCTGTATCCTGCAAGTCAGCAGTACACTAAAAGGTGTTGGAAGTTGTTAATAGTGATATTGTCTTATGTTGTAGCTACAGCTGACCAGTCAGCAGCTTCATTTGAAATGGAAATGTCTCAGACTGGTTTCAGTGCTCATTATTCGCAGGTATGTGGATCACTTGGTAGAAAACAAAATATCTGTTTGCAAGATTTTTCCCCAAAACCACCATCTAGTCATCAGTATTACAAGTAAAACATGTAGTTTATATCTTCAGCAGTTGTTCAGGAAAACATGCTATCTCACACAGCTCACTACGTTGTACTAATAATTGTGAGACAGGACCAGCACAGTGGCTCAAACCTGTAATCCCAGCACTTTGGGAGGCCAAGGCAAGAAGATTGTCTGAGCCCGCGGGTTCGAGACCAGCCTGGGCAACATGGTGAAACCTCAACTCTACAATTAATAAAAAAATTTGCTGGGTCTGGTAGCATGCGCCTGTAGTTCCCGCTACTTGGAAGGCTAAGGCAGAAGGATTGCCAGAGCCCAGCAAGTCTTCGCTTAGGAGGCCGTGAGCATGCCACTGCACTCCAAACTGGGCGGCGAAGAGAGACTCCAACTCAAAAAATAAAATAATTGTGAGTCAGATAGTGTGAGCTCTGTCTTATATAATTATCTGTCTATAACTACATGAAACACTTAATATATTTGCTAAAGATATGGGCTGTATCTTTTTCATTGTCAAGGTATTCAAGACTCTTGCTAGAAATCTATATTAAAGACCTTGACACAAAGCTCATTTGTATTGATGGAAGAAAAGGCATCATGGTTCTTGAAAATTAATATTTACATTTCAGTGTACAATTGTACTGTATAACCTTGGGCAAGTTACTTACTGTGTCTTGGTCTCCTCTTCTAAAATGGGGATGATAATAATGACCTCAAGCCTGTAGAGTTATTATGAGGACTGTATGAGTTAATATACGTAAAACCCTTTGAATGGTAGTCATCACATTGTTAATGCTGTATAAATGATTGCTCTTGTTATTTTTATTAAATCTTACCATTTTCTCTATTTCCATATAAGGATTGGGTCATGCTCGGAGCAGTAGGAGCCTATGATTGGAATGGAACAGTTGTCATGCAGAAAGCTAATCAAATTATAATCCCCAAAAACACAACTTTTAAGGTTAACTCTACCAAAAAGAATGAACCTCTTGCTTCTTATTTAGGTAAGGCTTAAATGTAATTATAGACTTAAAAAACATTTTAAGTATTTTTTGCTTATATTTCTATAGACCATATACCAAGATCATTTCAAAGAATTAAGTATTTTACAGGACCCATGAAAAGTTTCAGGCTTCTGAACATCCTTAGACAGTCAAAATAACAGAACATGGAAGTCACTCTTTCTTGGTAGGACTATCTAGTTCAGGGAATAGTTTAGGCTTATACGTGCACTTTCCCTGCCTGTGTTTGATAGTCTCTTTAACTTCAAGAAGAGCTTTGGTAGAAAAAAAAACCTTGAATTCTTCTGTGTCCTGAAGACTAGACTCCCCCATTCTCTTAACTATCATCTATCATTAGTTTTTTAATGGGTCCTAATTTTAGACCAAAAAGAATTTAAGTTGTTTTGTCATAAAGTTTCTTCTTTAATAGTTCTATTTACAATCAGACAAATATTGAACTCAAACTCAGTAATGTAATGTCATCTTGTTTTCTAAAGTCTTGCCAGGAAAGTGGAGGCATGTGTCTAGTACCACCTTATTAGGTATCTGAAAACACTGAGACCAACATAGGTGACACCAGGATACTCTCCCATCTCTAGAACATCTCAGTAAAAAATTGGGAGGGCCTAGAATGAAATACATCCTCAGGGTAGACTTTCCATCTCTTACTCACTCAACAAATATATTTGGGTTCCTCTTTTGCCCCAGGCACTGTTCTTGGTACTGGGGATGCAGTGGTAAAGAAAACAAATACCTTGGCCTTGAAGTGTTCACATTTTAGCTTGTAAGCATTCCTCTCTGGGATCTTTCTGTCCTAAAGGCAAGTAAGTCGTTTTTTTCTTTGTCCCAGTTTTCTTCTATTTTACCAGAAAGGTGGCAGGTCTTTACTGATACTTTCCTATATCTTTACTGATACTTCCCTATATCCCTATCCCTATGTCCTTATTCAAGAACACTCGTTAAGGCTGTAGAGACAGCAGGATTTAAGAAGAATAAAAGGTCTAGAGTTTTCAATGACTAAAAATGTAGTGGTAGGCAGTAGCCACAATGTGACTGTAGGAACCCCTTAAAAAATATAGAACTGCGTTAATGAATGTGTCGTCTATTTCTTAGAGAAATCCTATTGCATTCTATCCTGTTCAAAAAACAACTAACGTTCCTGGCGTCATGCATTACAAAGAGAATATGACAAACTAGAATGTGCCTAATGTGTATAAGATTATCTAGAAAATACATATCTGGAAACAATTCCTGCTACGAATCTCTCTCCCTCCAAAACATGAAGAATTGAGGGTTAGAAATTGAGGGTTAGTACATTACATATATTTTAAATATATGGAGGATTGTACTGTAAAATACAGGGTTGGGCTAAAAATTCATATCGCATTTTAACATGAAAAGAGAACCTAGGAAGCATAGAGTCCAACATCTAATTTACCAATTAAAAAACTGAAGAATAAGACAATTATAGACCAACTACTTATGGCAGGTTCGAAACCACAATTTAGGTCTCTTGAGTCGTGTCCCAGTGTTGATCTCACAATACCTAAGTGTCTGGTTCCGGGCCGATCAGGAAAACACTCCACAAATATTGAGTGCCTACATTGTGCCAAACATTTAGCTTATAAATTTAGAATAAAAAGAATAAAACAGATCAATTCCTATATTCATGGGGCTTACTTTTTCAGATGAGAGGCAATAACGAAATGAGCAATCACCATCAGTATGACATGTGCTATGACATAGAATACCTAAAAAGAAGGCAGGAGGTTAGATTAAGTTTATCTTGTAAGCATTCTTCATACTCTAAGATTCTATGAGACTGTTTTATGTGAAATACTTTGGAATCAAGAACCAATTTAACCTGAGACTGTCTTCCCACCTTAGCTAGAACAAATGGAATATTTACTCTCCTATATAATAGATGGCATATAAATTAGTATAACTCCTTATGAGAGGCATTTGATAATATGCCTACAGAGCCATAAAAATGTTCATACTAGCCGGGCTCGGTGGCTCAACCTGTAATCCCGCGCCTTTGGGAGGCTGAGGTGAGTGGATTGCCTGAGCCCACGGGTTCAAGACCTGCCTGGGCAGCGAGACTTCATCTCTACAATAAACAAAAAAAAAATAAGCCGGGCTTGGTAGCGTATGCCTGTAATTCCGGCTACTCGGAAGGCTGAGGCGGAAGGATCACTGGAGCCCAGTAGGTCGACGCTGCAGTGGCCAGGAGCGGCCACTGCACTCCAGTCTGGGCGACAGAGTGAGACTCCAACTCAAAAAAAAAAAAAAAATGTTCATACCAATTGACCCAGAAATTTCCTTTCTGAGGATCTAACCTTTAAAAAAGTTCAATATTTAGAATTGCCATAGTATTATTTATGGCATTATCTTAAACATCATAATATAAGGATAGTTAGTATATAGTAAATCCACTGAGTGGGCCATTATAATCCATAAAAACAATAATTATAATAAAGCTGCTAATCCAGTGATTTTGGAGACAATTATAGCACGAGATGAGATCCACAATTAGAGATGACTCTGAGGTCATAAGGACTTGAGTTTGTTTTCTGACTCTTCCCCTGGCTATGCCTTAGGCAAATTATTTTTCCCCGCAAAGCCTCAACTGCCTATTTCTAAAATGGAAATAATTACACTGCACATATCATTAAATTAAGAAATGACTATAAAGTGCTTAGTACTATGTCTGACAGATAGTTAACACTCAATACATGCTATTTACTACTGTATTATTATGTAATGTTATATAAAATGTTGTCTTCTTATTGGAATTATGGTAGGCTAAATAATGACCCCCAAAGAAGTCAGTGTCCTAATCCCTGGATCCATGAATGTATTACCAACATGGCAAAAGGAACTTTGCAGATTTGATTAAAGTAAGGGTCTTGAGATAGGAAGATTACCTTAGATACCTGGCTGGGCCCTTAAAAGAGAACCTCTCCTGCATGTAGTCAAAGGGAGATAGAGCTATGGAAAAATGATCAAAGAGTGCAGTTCTATCAGCTTTAAAGATGGAAAGAGGCCATAAGCCAAAAAATGTGGGTGCTTTCTAGAACTACAAAGGCAAAGAAAACAGATTCTCCTCAATAGCCTCTGGAAAGGAACACAGCCCCGGCCAACATCATGATTTTTAGCAGAAGACCAATACCAGACTTCTAACTTACAGAATAATAAATTTGTGATGCTTTAAGTCACCGAGTTTGTGGTAATTTGTTACAGTAGCAATAGAAAACGAATACAGGCATATTCTATGTTCTAATAACCGTAGCTAAAGTTAATACTACTATTAATAAGTATTAAGTATCTACAAAATTAAAGACATTGTGTAAAGTCCACAAAGATATATGTTATCTTGTCACTACCATAGGGAGTTTATACTTTTTTAATGCAGCATTTTTTATATTCTGAGTTTAAATATCTTTAAATAGACTCTTAAGAATCCTAAATCTGTTATTCTCAAAAAGATTGGGTTAATGATTGTTTGAAGCAGATTTAGAGAATTCAAAACCTAAAGATATCACTGCAAGTAAGAAGAAATTAAAAGAACTTGTATTCTTGATCACAGTATTTTTAATATATGATGCATCTCTGCCCAGAAAAGGAAATTTTTTTAAAAATATGTTATCTGCAGTGTGTTGAGATTTTTTTTTCCTGTTTCAGAAATCATTTCATTAGCTTACTCACAAGGATATTAGACATTTTGCCAACATGAAATCTTATATATGAGGGACCCCCCAAAAATCAGAATTATTTGGAGGATGGGCCCTTTGTAGTATATATAGGCTTTCCCCACTAAGTAAGATCTAGGAACTCATTGATATCAGTGTACCAGCTAGCGTTGTTGTGAGAGACTGCATTTGGCTTCAGTGATTTTTTTTCTTTTAAATTTTTTCAATGCGTTTGCCCACTTCACTATGGATGATTTACACCTGCCCACACCCATACCATGCTGAGTGTTCAACAGTTTTTGACTAAAAACAGCATGACTCCATGCCTCATTCTCCCTATTCACTTGATCTCCTCCTGAGTAGCTTTTTTTGTTTCTCTGGTTGCAAAAAATATCCTCAAAGTATTGCCAGTGTGGAAGAGGTGAAACAAAAATGACAGAAGTACTAAACGGCATCAAAATTGACAAGTTCAAAAAACTGTTTTGAGTAGTGGAAAAAGCTTCTCAATAGGAGTGTTGCATCATATGGAGAGTACTTTGAAGGTCACTGAAGTTTAAACATATAAGAATAAATATACAATTTGTTAGTAAATAAATTCAGGGGTTTTGGGGGGTCCCCCTCATATGTAAGATTTATTTCAAAATAGAAGAGCACTCAAAAAGGGTCCAGAAAGTAGCTTTTTTTTCCTCAAATGTATTCTACATCTGAAATGAGTCTTTCAAAATGTTTCCTTGTGGGAGTCACAAATTAAGAGATTGAATGTATTACTCCAAAATCTGTAGCCGGGCTCGGTGGCACAGTCTGTAATCCCGCGCCTTTGGGAGGCTGAGGTGAGTGGATTGCTGGATTGCCTGAACCCGCGGGTTCGAGACCCGCCTGGGCAGCGAGACCTCATCTCTACAATAAATCAAAAAATCAGCCGGGCGTGGTAGCGCATGCCTGTAATTCCGGCTACTCAGAAGGCTGAGGCGGAAGAATCGCCGGAGCCCAGCAGGCGAGTCTGCGGTGGCCGGGAGCGGCCACTGCACTCCAGTCTGGGCGACAGAGTGAGACTCCAACTCAAAAAAAAAAAAAAGAAAAATCTGTGTGGATTGCAAGTTGTAAGACTACGGAAAATCTTATGAAGGAAACAGAGTAAGAGGTAGATGCTTTAGTTTACAAATCCCATACTAATCAATAATGATCATACTAAGTAGGATCTGAATCTGTTGAACATCTGTTTCAGGAGCTAGTCATACACCTGACTTTCCTATAACCCCTTAAACTACCAGACACCAATTCCACTTAGCAAGTGAGGTTGATGGTGAGAACACTGTGAGATTGTGTTATCTGTCTCCTCTTCCCACAGTTTGCTCATTTCTATTCATGCCAGACAGATTCCAAAGAGAAAGGAAAGATGTGAGGCAAAGGTCTATCATCAAGACACATCATACTCGTTTCCCATTACCTCACCAGATCCTTGCACTTTTCCCAAGTGAATTATGAAAGCTGGCAGGATTTATTCTTCATAAATCCATGCAGATGGCTGTGCCATCCATTTTTCTTTCTCTTCCATCTTGCACTTTTCTTTTTCAGAAAGCAATATTAAGCTTAAATGTTTAAAATTTTTTCTTTCATTAAAATCAGGCTTTATTTGTTCTCTTTTTTTTCCCCCTCTGTATTGTCTTTAGATACCTGAGCCTCAATGAGTAGGTGCCCTAACTGGTAGTTATCATCCTTGTGATGATTTTAGCTAATATTTTTAGTTATCAAGTGCAAATCATTGAAAATAGTTAACCTCATAACCACACAACTCTAAGCTTCACACACAATTTTTAGCCTATATTTTATCTTTTTTAAAAGCACCCTGTCGCCCAGGTAGTGGCATGATCACAGCTCACAGCAGCCTCAACATTCTGGGATCAAGTAATTCTTTTGCCTCAGCCTCCCAAGCAGCTGGGACTACAGGTGTACACCACCACACCTGGCTAATTTTTTTTTTAAAATTTTGTAGAGACGAAGTCTTGCTATGTCTAGGCTTGTCTTGAATGCCTTGCCTCAAGCAGTTCTCCCACTTCAACATCCCAAAGTGCTGGGATTACAGGTGTGAGCCACTGCACCCAGCCTCAACTTATTTTTTAAAGGGTCTTTTATCAGTTTGCATTTATAGCTCTGAAAATTACAAAAAGGAAAGAAAAAAGTTCTCAGTAGAGTGGCATGAAATAAAACAGCGTTGTCTTGCACATTCTTCTCCCTTTTATGTATGTATAAACATCACCCTAACGTTTTTATTTCTGAAGCAGTATTGTGGCTAGTACTATAAAAATATGACTCATTACGTGTTTGAAAAAATATTTTACTTTCTATTTTGTAATAGAGGTTTTTAATAATAATTTTAAAACCTCAAAGAAAGATGGAGAATTCAGAATGTGAGGGAAGTATGCATAAAGGGTAATATACCTGAGGAACTGTGTTCCCTTAGCATTTTTAAGAATAAAGGTATTTTTGTACAAAAACCTCTGTTTCTTTTTTAAAGTTTTGGAAGATAGTGAAACTATTGCCTTTAGGAAAATACTTGGTAAATAAGTTAGGAACTTTTTCTCAGCAAGAAATGCTATTCTTTTTTTCTTTCTTTCTTTCTTTCTTTCTTTCTTTCTTTCTTTCTTTCTTTCTTTCTTTCTTTTAATCAGTATTTTTTATTATGATATTGTGGGATACAGTTAAGGGTTAGGTATACAAATATGCTTCGTTCAGGCACCCTTGTTGACAAGAGGTGTCTCCCCATCCCCAGACAGATATTTACTACCGTTAATCCCATCTCCCTTCCCCTCCCCCCCTAGTTTCCCACCATTGTCAGTCATTTTCTTATAGTATTACATTGGATGTTCAAGGTCCACTATATGAGTGAGAACATGTGATACTCAGATCTTTGTTTCCGTGAGAGGTCACTCAGTTTTATAGACTCTAGTTTCATCCCGGTTGCTGCAAAATTCATGATTTTGTTCTTTTTCATGGCTGCATAGTATTCCATCGTGTATATGTACCACATTTTTTTAATCCAGTCCTCTTTTGATGGACAACATGATTGCTTCCAGGTCCTTGCTATTGTGAACAATGCTGTGATAAACATACGTATGCGGGTATCTTTTTTTTTATAGAGTGATTTGAGTTCTTCAGGGTATATTCCCAGTGGGGGGCTCTGGTAATGAACAGCCAGTGAGCTCCCCCAGGTGTACTAAGATGGTCCTTGCTGAAACAAAATGAATTGCTCTAACTAGAAGAGGAATTTGCACAAAAGAAAAAAAATCCCAGAAGAAACTGAAGAAACAAAAACTACGACTCAAGGTTAACTTCAAAATAAAATGCATGCAAATAAAATTAAAAACAGAAAAAGACACATTTCAAAATTTTATAGAGCATGAAAATTCAATTAAAAAGAGGAAGGATCAGACATAAAAAACTGTTCACGCTCACTATTAAATAAATGTAAATTAAAATTACAGTAAGGTACTGTTGTTAGACAATATTTAACACCTATTAAAACAGCCACAGGTTTAAATATTGGTAATAATACACAATGCCTGGGAGAATTTGACAAAATTATTGGCTCTTGTGTAGCTATTCATAGAATAAATTAGTACAAATGATCTGGAAACAATTTTCCAAACACTATAAGAGCCATTAAAATCTTGATCCAGTAATCTATTCCTTGATACTTATTGTTTAATCCAAAATAAAAGAGGAAAAAAATGTAAATGCTCAAAGACATCTTTGCAGGTTTAAATATAATACCAAAAATTGAAAAACCACCTAAATTCCAGTATTCCATCTGGAAATGGTCATATAGTATAAACACAATGCTTTAATGTTTCAACTAAGAAAAATAATCTTCAACCATTTAAAATTATAATTTATAAACGTAGTAGCAACACAGAGAAGGCTTACATTTTCTATAATTCCAATTATATAAAATTAATTTGCATAGCACAGATATATGTGTCCAAATGAATTATAATTGATTTATTACAACATGGTATCATAAATTAAATTAATTTAAATAAATTAAAATTTTAAAAATTAAAAAGTAAAATTTTTTTTAAAGTGGAATTGGCGCGGGTTCAAGATCCGCCTGGGCAGCGAGACCTCATCTCTATAATAAATCAAAAAATCAGCCGGGCGTGGCAGCGCATGCCTGTAGTTCCGGCTACTCGGAAGGCTGAGGCGGAAGGATCACTGGAGCCCAGCGGGTCAAGGCTGCAGTGGCCGGGAGCAACTACTGCACTCCAGTCTGGGCGACTGAGTGAGACTCCAACTCCAAAAAAAAAAAAAAAAAAAAAAAGTGAAATTGGTATTGTGAGTACTTTTTGTGCAATTTTTTGTTTTTCTGTCATCATTATTATATTATTTGTACCTTAACACAATGAAAAATTGAGGTTGGAAAAAATAGCTTTTCAGGAGGCAGTAGATAATCAGGAAGCACATTAAATGCTTCTACCCAAACAAATTCTTATATGCATTTAAGAAAAATTATTTTCAAAGAAAGGGGAATCCATGTAAAACTATACAAATGTTCTTCTTAATCATTTAAAGTAAATTATTAACTTACTAAGGGCAGAGAGTACACCTGGAATCTCTCTTTTGTTAGGTTACACAGTAAATTCCGCCACTGTTTCTGGAAATGTGTTCTATATTGCTGGACAGCCTCGGTACAATCACACAGGCCAGGTCATCGTCTACAAGATCAAAGATGAAGACATCAAAATTCTCCAGACACTCAGTGGAGAACAGGTAAACTTGAAAAATATTGTTTTAAATTAATCTGTCCACACTTTATGTAAGTTTACATTCTACTATCCTAAACTTTTTTATCAACGTATTCAATATCAACTGTGAACAGGGCCCCATGTTAGGTTCTTTGGAGGGGTGTAAAACGTCTACATTGTTGATTTCATAAACATTTCAGTTGGAAGGGGGTGAAGGTAAGATGTATAGATAATGGATGTATTTACAGATGTACAAATATATATATATATATATATATATATATATATATATATATAGAGATCAAAAACATTAAGAAGCATAAAGTATCTGTGGCTCAGACAGTAAACTCACAAGATGAAAAAAATGTTTTAAATTAGGATGGGTGCAGAAAGCCTAAATAAGAGGTGAAATTTGGGCTGAGTCTAGAAGGAAAGATAGAATGTAGATAGGTTGAAAGAGTGGTAAAAGAGAAAGTTATACGTGGGCCCAGATTGTGTGAGATTTGAACGGCAAACTAAGAACTTTGATTTTATTCTGGAGGCAATGAGAAATTGAGACATTTGAAACTGGGTAATTCTTACTAGGTAATGATTGAATATGAAAAGTAGTTTAGGGTCAGTCGTGGCGACTTACACCTGCAATCCTAGCACTTTGGGGGCTGAGGCAGGAGAATCACTTGAGGCCAGGAGTTTAGAAACCAGCCTAGTCCACATTACAAGACCCTGTCTCTACAAAAATAATAATAATAATAATTTTTAAAAAGTAGTTTAGGACATGTAATATTCCAGCATTAATCTATATCAGTATTTTTAAACTGAAACATCTAATTATGCTGGGATTTTTGTTGTTGTTGTTTTTGAGTTGTGATAACTTGAGTAACTTTTATCTCTTTTTCATAGTTGTCTATTTTCCAAGTGTTCCACAATGAGGATTTATTAACTTTATTCTACAATCTTCACAGTGATGGGGATGGGGGTGGAGGGGACAGAGTTCCTCTTAGGCTTCACTATATATTCCCTCTTACTAGACTGGAAGAACAGGGCTGCATCAGCCTACCTCCTCTGTGTAATCCTTGCTGCAGCCCAGCATACAGCTCAGGTGTAAGGAGACTCACATCAGGCCTGATCAGGAGCTGCACTGGGTTTAAAGACCCACGTCTCACAGGAGCCAGTGTCTGTTATGACAAAAGCATTACACATACCTTCCAGGGGCTCTGCAAAGGGCATGCCAGTTTAAGGAGTCATTGCACTTTGTGAAGCCCAAAATATGTTACCTCCACCAGGTACTTATTGTTCATTTGTAAGCTGCTTAAATGCAATGTCCCAATCAGAGATTATTTTTACCCCAATCAGTGTTGCTTAACATTAGCAGTACAGTTGAAATCCTAGACTCAGCAGATTCCCAGGGGAACAAATTTAGAGTAACTAACTAAAGGTCAGATTATCTTATGCCGGAGACCAGCTCCAGCCGGGTTCAGGATACCCCAAAGGTGGAGACAGCATCGGTGATTGGGGGGAAGAAGAAAGAGAGAAAGGGAGAGAGAAAGAGACTGGACTCCAGTCTAGTGCAGAAGCCGTTTAATGGGAATTACAACTGGTCTTTTATACACAGTCGGGTGTGTGAGGGGCGTTCCCCACCCACCGGATGTTCTTTCAGGCATAATCCCATAACCTAATCGATGAAACGATCGATTAATCCATTTATTCAACTTCAATAAATCCTAAGATCATGACCCAGAAGCCTGTGACCAATACTAAGACTCTTAGATGTGACCTGAGTTTGAATTATAAGTTGTGTGAAAGCCAAAACTGCACTTTGTGGAAGAATGGGAGCAATGAGCTTCTAAAGTTAGCTTGTGTTCATCCCGGTCTCAGAGTTTTTATGTTTTGAGCTCACAGGAGCTTAATCTGGTTAGTGCTGAGTAGAAAAGGGGAGGAAATGGGGTCAATAGCTCCCGAACGCATCCTAGTGGTCTCGGGGTCAACGGCCCTTCCTTATCCCTAACGCTCAGTGGGCCTCCATGGCCGGCTCCCAACAATCTTACACTAGGTGAATAGGATTTATTAATTCTTTGCTCACATTTATACTTGGAAAATGCATCAACAACAAAAATAAGGCTATTGTTATAGTTCAAGGAGGAAGTAAGAATAATCTAAAATGAAATGTTTAGCAATAAAATAAAAAAACAAGGATATAATAGACATCAATGGGAAGAAATTGACAAATATAAAATGAAGCATTTTAGATGACATCTGAGGTACATTATCTCACCATTAATTGTCTACAAGACAGGAAATGTAAAGTTTTGTAAAAATTTATGTATGAAAGTTGAGGCACATATCATGAATGATTTCAGTTTCAAGTACATAATTTGAAAGATGTCTCTAGCTTTAGAATGTCAACAATTCAAGCGGTTTAGGTATTTTTTCAAAATAATGTTTGGTTTTTAGACATCTTCCCTGTAACAGTAAGCACAAATTCACATGTTGGCAGGTGACAGTAAAATATAAATGAGCAAAGTCATTGAGTGAAGCTGATGGGCAAGAGACAGTAAGAAGGGGTGAGAACTGTGGCATCAGTTTATATCTTTCATTACCTTTGCCAGTTGAAACCCAAATACACTTCTAAATTTCTAAAACAGAAATACAGATTTTTGTTTCCTTAAACATTTCTGATGTTCACCAGGCTGTTTTGTTTTGTTTTGTTTTGTGTCCTAGATCGGTTCCTACTTTGGCAGTATTTTAACAACAATTGACATTGATAAAGATTCTAATACTGACCTTCTTCTAGTCGGGGCTCCCATGTACATGGGAACAGAGAAAGAGGAACAAGGAAAAGTGTATGTGTATGCTCTGAATCAGGTAATGGTATCTGTTTGGTAGAAATTCAGGAAGTCTCTTCCTTCCCCTCCATATTGAATAATGCAATTCTAATTTTTCGCTCATGTTAGAGAAATGAGCAAAGAAACTTTCAGGGTTCATCTACCTCCCCACCCCCACCCCCCAGTTCTGAAATGACCATTGAGAATTCTGGTAAAGTAGTTCAACCCTTAGATATTTTCTGCTTGGAAATGTGAATAAAGGAGAAAATTATAAATTTCACTCAGTTGCTAAATAAACCCACAAGGCAACCTTTCATGAGCTCTGGACTGGCTGGCGGTGGATAACATTAGCAGTTGAAGTGGGTAGGATGGGGCAAGATGGGTGGGGGGAAAAGTAGTGAGTTTCAGGCAACGACTCCAGACACTTCCAGGATATAGTTCACCCGGCTGGAGTGAGGTTTTGTTTTCCATTCCTGGCTTCAGATATCATATGTTAGGTGAAGTAATTCTTAATATCTTCATTAGAAGAGATTTGTTTTGTTTTGTTTTTTTGCTATTTACAGAAAAGCCAATGTTTATCTACTCAGGTTTTTAAAATTCTTAGATTCTCTTCCATATTAATTATTTTAAATCATCAATTGTATATTTTTCTTTCTATCATTTTTTGGCTTTCTAATGTCAGTTTTTTTGTTCCTGTGCTGTTTTGCCCTTTTTCCAAGAAAGTGTGTTCTTGTTCACCTTTACTAGTACTTTCTGTCCTTACTGTTTCATTTGGGTTTTGTTTTTTTTTTCCTTCCACTCTAGACAGCTTTAGAGAAAGTTTGCTTCTTGAACAGAGTAAATTTTTGCTTTGCACAATATTGGGTGAAGAAGGGAGAGTGGCACAAATTGGGAGTTTAAATATTCAGTTCTTTAGAAAGAAGTTGTAAAATATACACTCACTCAATTGCATTAAAAAGAGACTCCATTACTAAAGTCCTCAGTATGTCTTCTTTCCCACATTTCTACAGTCTGTTTGGTGGATTCCGTAACTTTGCTTTCAGATAGGCACACTTTTAAAGAAATTTTACATACTTTACCACTGATGTACAATTTTTTTAATGGCACTGATTTAATATGTACTTTAAAAATCCCACTCTGCCGTAGTAATGATAGAAATCCATAAGTATCCTGTTTATCTTTCTTCCAGACAAGGTTTGAATATCAAATGAGCCTGGAACCTATTAAGCAGACTTGCTGCTCATCTCTGAAGCACAACTCGTGCACAAAAGAAAACAAAAATGAGCCATGTGGGGCTCGTTTTGGAACAGCGATTGCTGCTGTAAAAGACCTCAATCTTGATGGATTTAATGACATTGTGATAGGAGCTCCGTTGGAAGATGATCACGCAGGAGCTGTGTACATTTATCATGGAAGTGGCAGGACTATAAGGAAAGAGTATGCACAAGTAAGAAGTTAAGTCTGTGGATTCTGCCCTTCCGTGATAAGTGGGTTCAATGCCAGGCATTACCTGTCTAACTTCATGAGCTACTTAATTTTCTTATTCTGACTCTGTTGGGAAATTAGATTTAATTATCTTCTACGTGTTCTTTATAGAGGAATTACTTTGTATTTTATACATTTATCTAGTTTATTTTGTGTTGTTATTTGCCATGTCTTGAGGGTTTGATCTTTCGAAAGGGTAACAAAACAAAATAAAAGAACACTTTGTAACCAGGCGTGGTGGCTCACACCCGTAATCCCAGCACTTTGAGAGACAGAGGCGAGAAGATTGCCTGAACCCATGGGTTCAAGACCAGCCTGGGCAATACGGCTCAACCTCATCTATACAATAAATCAAAAAATTAGCCAGGCATGGTGGCACACACCTGTAATTCCAGCTACTTGGAAGGCTAAAGCGGAACCCAGCAGATCAAGGCTGCGAAGGCCACGAGCTTGCCACCGCACTCCAGCCTGTGCGACAGAATGAGTCTCCGACTCAAAAAAAAAAAAAACACTTTTTAACTGCTGTTAACATCTGCCATGTGTCTGATTCTAAACAGAGAGTTTAGGTACTTTCTAAATAAGACAGCAATAGTTATATGATTTAGCCAATAAGGGCAATGAGATGATTGGTTTTATATTCGATGTTCATGCTTTTATAATAAAATTGCATTACGTTTATATGTATAAATTAAATTGGTATATTTTCATCAAGTGAATTAGGATTGCTGAAGGTTTATAATTTTCTCACAAGTAATCCTTGAAATAAAAAATCTGTGCCGGGCTCGGTAGCTCAGCCTGTAATCCCGCACTTTGGGAGGCTGAGGTGAGTGGATTGCCTGAGCCCATAGGTTCGAGACCCACCTGGACAACTTGGCGACACCTCATCTCTACAATAAATCAAAAAATTAGCCAGGCATGGTAGCGCACACCTGTAGTTCCAGCTACTGGAAGGCTGAGGCGGGAGGATCGCCGGAGCCCAGCAGGTCGAGGTTGCAGTGACTGGGAGCGACCACTGCATTCCAGTCTGAGTGACAGAGTGAGACTCCAACTCAAAATAAATAAATAAATAAATAAAAAATCTGAATAAGTAAGCTTAACCTGCAGGGGACTTCTGTTGCTCCTGTTTTAACTTTGTTGTCAGTTCACAGATCTAATCCATAAATGCATTTTTTTCCTACATGAGAAAGATAACAATTTAAGGAAGTGCTTAATTCACTATAAAAACAGTAGACTTTAAAGGAGTTTTATTGCAATTATCTGATTTTAAGTAATAATAAATAGCTTATTAGATATTGAGCAACTACTTATAAATGAAATAAACTCACTACTTTCTAGCTTATATAATATAAAAAAATCAGAACATTATTTCTTTTTCCATTTGAGTTCTTTTTGCTTCTGTAGTCAACAGAGTTGTGAAAATCTAGTCACACATTGCAGAGTTGTGCTTAATTTTTCATAAAGTCATAATGACAAAATAAAGGGCTTTTTTCAATAACAGTACTTCTATCCATTTGATAAATAATTTGTTTGTGTTAAATTCCTTTATGACATTATTTACTCAACTAGAAACAGGCAACATTAACCACTGGGGCATGATGAAATCAGGAAATTCAGTAAGGAGTTTTTTTCTTGTGTTCTACCACGTTATTTCTTCAGTATCAATCCCATTAATTGGATGAAGTAGCATTTGAAGTAGGAAAGATTTCTAAAATCATTGATAAATGGAATAGATTGTCATAAACAATTTGTTTTGTAGAATAATGGTAAACCAGGATGCAGCTTTAAACAACAACAAGAAGAATATTAGGGTTAGATTTGCTCAATTCACAAAATATTTTTCCAATATATGAGGAAGTGCTTACTCGTTTCCATGGGAACCAGAGGTGCTATTTATGGAATGAGCCAGAATCAAACTGAATCAACTCCTCAGAACCAATGAGGCAGCACCTCCTAATTTGTTGCTGAAAAAATAAGGACATACTTCCCAATGAGCTACACATGTTTAAGCATGAAAACTGCTTCCATTTGGTTTGCCTTAATGGGTTTCTTATTTTATGTTATGTAAGTGGAAACCAGGAGAATGAGAAGTCCCCAAGTTCAGGGAAGGTCTGTAAGTCCTGTCTCCTTGCTTCCATTAAAACAGTATCAGCTTGACCCAATGCTAAGTCAAGGAGTATGGATATCAAATATATTGTGTATGGTGATCTGCACAGATTAGTCTTCACAAATTCCACATTCATTTATGCCTTCCCAGTATACTGAATACACTTGAGTGGAATTGAGTCTATTGTGTCCTCAACTTTCAGGACAATTTTTGATAGGCAGTAAAGAAGATTGCATATTGGAAAATACATTTGATGGAATGTGTAATTTATACCCAGTCACAAAGTTCAATGAACCCCAAATTGACTCCCAGGACAACTTTCTACTCCCCTGCTTGCTGGTGGAATATGTTTTCAAGGTTTCCAGACCTTTAAATACCTCTTTGTGATGGGGCCAGGAAGAAACTAGAAAGCACAGAGCCAATTACTCATAATGTTTCCCTTTGAGGATAAGACAAGATGACATTATATAATCCCTCCCTCCCCCCCCGCCGCCCCCTGATGTCAGTAACCCTGAAATGATTTTGTCTGTGCTATGAAAAGAACAATATCCATTGGGAACATCTAAGCATTTCCTCTTATGGCCACATGAGGGGTCTCTTGGGCAGGTTTCCAAAAGATCTTTAATTTTTATTTTTTTGTTAGCCAATCAAAATTATCAAATTTACTTGAAACTGTTTTGTACAGACTCCTTTGACATACAATTCTCTTTGGGGATTTTCACAGCGTATTCCATCAGGTGGTGATGGTGAGACACTGAAATTTTTTGGCCAGTCTATCCATGGAGAAATGGATTTAAATGGTGATGGGCTGACTGATGTGACCATTGGAGGTCTTGGTGGTGCTGCTCTCTTCTGGTATGTATTTTAATAACAGCCAATTAACCTGATACTATTTCATACATAGTTGCAGCTCTCAGAGTACGACTGGAGTTCATACATAACAAAATCGATTTCCTTTTGTGCTTCATTACATAGATATTGGAACAAGTTATTCTGTTGAGTAGGCTGGAGAAGTCAATAAATCTTAAAAACAACAGGCTATATTAAAGGATCAAATGGAATGAACTCTTAATTTGTGTATCTTTTATGTGCTTGATACTGTTTTGAGAGAGGTATGGGGAAGGGAAGGACTTATACAGAATGTGTGTAAAAATAATTCCTAACTTTGAGTTGCTTACCAGCTTTTAGATATAACTAAATTTCCATTAATTTACCTAATATATAGAAATAGACGATTTGTGGCATTGTCTGACTCTGTTTATGTTGATTGGTCAAACATAGAGGCATTTTCAGTAAGTCTTCGATGAGCTTTTAAAATGCCTGCATCCCTAAACTGCACCCTATCCATGCAGTTAATTGTAAAATCTAAGCCAGTGGTCAGATACATAAAGTAATAAAGTTTTGTTTTTTGATTTTTTTTGAGTTGGAGTCTCACTTTGTCACCCAGACTGGAGTGCAGTGGCCGCTCCCAGCCACCACAGCCTTGACTTGCTGGGCTCCGGCGATCCTTCCGCCTCAGCCTTCCAAGTAGCCGGAATTACAGGCATGCACTACCACGCCCAGCTGATTTTTTGATTTATTGTAGAGATGAGGTCTCGCTGCCCAGGTGTGTCTCTAACCCGCGGGCTCAGAAAATCCACTCACCTCAGCCTCCCAAAGGCGCAGGATTACAGGCTGAGCCACTGAGCCCGGCTAATAAAGTTTATTAATAAATAATAATAATCATAACTTTAGCTAGCTTTAAAAATCCTATTTTAAAAAGGGTTCTAGCCAGGCATGGTGGCTCACACCTGTAATCCCAGCACTTTGGGAGGCCGAGGTGGGAGGATTGCTTAAGCCCAGGAGTTTGAGACCAGTGTGGGCAGCCTAGTGAGACTTTTTTCATCTCCACAAAAAATAAAAATATTAGCCGGGTATGGTGGCCTATACCTGTAGTCCCAGCTATTCAAGAGACTGAGGCAGAAGGCTTGCCTGAGCCCAGGGGATCGAGGCTGTAGTGAGCCATGAGCATGAAACTGCACTCCAGCACGGGCGACAGAGTGAGAGCCTGACTCAAAAAAAAAAAAAATTAAAGATATAATCTAGAAATATGATTATGATTTTAAAGTCATCATGGCATTACATGTAATAATCATTTTTTTAAAAAAAGAAATTAATCCAAATATAAAATGAGAAAGAATTGAATATATAGATTATTGTATGTGTTTATGCTGCTGTCTACTGCAGCTAGAATAATAAGTCCTAGCTCGAGCAATTAGACAAGAGAAGGAAATCAGGAATATCCAAATAGGAAAAGAGAAAGTCAAGTTACAAAACACTGCTCAAAGAAATTCAAGAAGACACAAACAAATGGAAAAATATTCAATGCTCATGGATAGGAAGAATCAACATTGTTAAGATGTCCATCCTATCAAAGGCAATCTACAGATTCAATGCAATACCCATTAAATTACCAACATCATTCTTCTCAGACTTGGAAATGACAATACAGAAATTCATATGGAAGCATAAATGACCACGAATAGCCAAAACAATCCTTAGCAAAAGAAACAAAGCAGGAGGTATCACACTTCCAGACTTCAAACTTTACTATAAGGCTACAGTAATCACAACAACCTGGTATTGATACAAGAACAGGCACATAGACCAATGGAACAGGATAGAGAATCTGGAAGCAAAGCCTCAATTTCTCAACCAACTCATCTTTGACAAAGCCTCCAACAACAACCACTGGGAAGAGGAGAACCTATTCAGTAAATGGTGCAGGGAAAACTGGCTGACCACATTCAGAAGATTGAAGCAGGATCTCTACCTATCACCATACACAAAAATTAACTCTAAATGGATCAAAGACCTAAACGTAAAACCTCAAAATATACGAATCTCAGAAAGCACAGGAGACACCCTTATGGAAATTGGAACTGGCAACCAATTCTTTTTCAGAACCCTAAAGGCCAATACCTTAAGAAATAAGATAGACAAATGGGACCTCATCAAATTAATGAGCTGCAAAGCAAAAGAAACCATCAAGAGAGCAGGGAGACAGCCCACAGAATGGGAAAAAATATTTGCCAACTGTATATCTGACAAAGGCCTAATATCTAGGATGTACAAGAAACTCAAACGCGCCGAAAGGAAAAAAAACAAACAGCCCCTTTAAAAAGTGGGCAAAAGACATGAATAAACACTTCTCAAAAGAAGATATACAGGCAGCCAACAGACACATGAAAAAGCACTCAGGCTCACTCATCATCAGAGAAATGCAAATCAAAACCACATTGAGATACCACCTAACCCCTGTAAGAATGGCCATCATTAATAAAACAAGCAACAACAGATGCTGGCGAGGATGTGGAGAAAAAGGTAGAAAAGCTTCTACACTGCTGGTGGGAATGCAGACTAGTACAACCTCTTTGGAAGACAGTGTGGCAATTTCTGAAAGAACTAGAAATTGGCCTTCGGTATGACCCAGCAATTCCCCTATTGGGAATATACCTGGAGGAATTCAAATGATTCTACGAAAAAGATACCTGCACATGTATGTTTGTTGTAGCTCTATTCACAATAGCAAAAACATGGAACCAACCATGGTGTCCATCGAAGCTGAACTGGATAAAAAAAAATGTAGTACATATACACAATGGAATATTATGCAGCCATAAAGAAGAACAAATATATGAACTTTGCAGCAACTTGGATTATTTGGAGTTGATCATACTCAGTGATTTATCACAGAAACAAAGAACTGAGTTCCATATGTTCTCACTCATAAGCTGACCTTGAACAATTATAATGCTATAAGAAAGCAATTAGTAGTAGTGGAGAACTGTCAGGGGAGGCGGGGTGGGATTGGCAGTTGAGGAAAACCGCTAGGGGAAGGAGGGGCATACCTCATCAACAAGGGTACCTATATGATCAATGTTTATATTCCTGACTCTGAATTGTACCCCACATCTCTATAATAAATAATAAGAGAATAATAGTCTCAGAAAAATATAAATATTGGAAAACTTTTTATTATAATTTGTTTTAAAATATGTGTACATGCATATATATGTGCCTGTGTATATAGGTACCTAGTAATAAAGTGTCCATTCACGTCACAGGGTGAAGTAAAGTTGTCCAATCGACATTTAGGCTTGATTTTAAGGCAGTGGCCTTAGGCTCCTTACATTGTTCATGCCTAAGATCTTACTCTGTTCTCATTTTGAATTAGTGGAAATCACTGAGCTTTGAAGTTAAAAGGACTGAGTTTAAATCTCAGTTTTTCCCTCTTAGCAGCTTTTGACATTGGCTAAAACATTTAACCTCTCTGAGCTTCAGCTATCTTACATATAAAACAAGTAACATACATGCCTAGAACAGTGCCTCAAATATTATCCCGCCTTTCTTCCCTAGATACAGAGGCAGAGCTGAACCCACTAGAACAGACATGTATCACAGTTCAGAAAAAAGCTAGCGAGGACCCATAGGTTGCTCGGGGGCCTCTGGGTTTGGGAACAAACTCAGAGACCCTCCAAAATACAGTTTTGCTTCTGAAGTTGCACCTGGGCACTTGGTTTTATCTCATTTCCATCACGGGCAAAACTAACAAGGAGGTACACCCCAAGGCCCCAGATGGTTCCAAAACATTCTGAGTGTCCTTAGAACATCAGATATAGTCTCTTCCATATTAAAGATACATTGCAGAAATGGAGTCCTGAGATCCTATATTATACACAAAGCAGAACTCCCCTTCATGCACTCACTACATTCTCAAATTGATGGCATTCATTAAATGTAAAAATGTGTCAGTAATTCATTGTTTGCATGTTTGTAGGTCCAGAGATGTGGCTGTAGTTAAAGTGACCATGAATTTTGAACCCAATAAAGTGAATATTCAAAAGAAAAACTGCCGTGTGGAGGGAAAAGAAACAGTATGCATAAATGCTACAGTGTGTTTTGATGTGAAATTAAAGTCTAAAGAAGACACGATTTACAAAGCTGGTAAGCAAAATTATAGCAAGTGCTTTTGGGTGGAGGACACTAAACTGGGGGTTCCAAAAAATGTATACACATTTTAAGAGATGTTCACCATAATCAGAATTGTCTGGTAACCACTTTGAGCACCTCCTGTAGTTGCAGAAGTCATGTTTGACTTCTGTATTCACCTTTTGTTATCAGTATATATTATTACAATTTTAATAGAGTTTTTTTCGTTTCTAAAATTTATACTTGTTTTTGGCACCCTCTGTGTTTATTCTAGCATGAGGAAATCCAGCAGGACATTGCATTCCCCCACCATATTGAGCTGCATGTCACATTTGCCTCCACGAACATTCTGAACCTTGGAAAAAATCTGCTGCAGAAGGACTAGGTTTTGGAACCCAGTAAATTCTGTAGAAGAAATTACACTCACATGCAGTGGCCTCGACATTCTGTAGTTCCCTTGGGCTCTCCTATTTACTATGAACAACAACAACAAAAATACCTATTCAGAGATAAAGTTTGGAAACTGGAATGCAAATGAGCCCAATTTTCCTTCCTATGGGTTTTCACAAAGAATCTTTTCTGCCTTCTCCTGCCTCCTCCTGGGGAAGACTGGTATTGCAGAGGCCCTGAATACTTTGGCACCCCCATGTTCCTGAGATCCCTTTGCTCTCTTGAGAAGGCAACCCTAGATTTTGAAACTCAGACCTGTTCTGTGTGTTTGTTCTCAGGTACATCATGTCAGCCTGTGCATGCCCCTCCCTATGCTCTCCACTTTCTAAGGCAATTTTTAAATGTTGTTGAAATATATTGGAGTCAAAGCTATGAAGGCCATTAGCTTCAGAAGAGTAATTTACATCCAAATATAGGTAGAATGAAAAAAAATTAATCCTTGAAATCTATTTTTTAAATTTATTCTATGCAAACATATGCTCTGAAACAGCCCCCTGATTAGAATATAAATGAGGTATAGGAATATAAAACAATGATCTAGGTTTCCATGTGCAACATTTTATTTCAGTCTTATTTAATATTTGGGTAATAACTAGGTGATCAAATAAGGAAAATTGTTGTCTTCATAGAAAGTAGAAGATTTCATTTGTTTTCCTTATTGTAGTATGCCTATTTTATGGAGCTTAATAGTGCTTTGGACAGAATCTAAGATAATGTATTTTTATAAAATAGGTAAAATGTCACTAATATATATTTTTGTCTCTATTGAAATATAATATAATCAATATCCCAAGCACAGTTTCAATAGTCCTAAACTAAACATATACATTTTAAGTGAAAATCTAATAAGCACTATCATAGTCAGGAAAGTAGATGATATGTAGTTGTGTATGTGTGTATGGTGTGTATAAGAATGATAAATAGGTGCAATTGAACATTAAAAACATAATGAACTCAGCAGTTCTACAGCGTTCCTCAAGGCTATCTTCATGTCTGCTAATATTATTATACTATAGTAGAGTGGATATGCTGAGTAATAGAGTTTTTGTTGATCAAGTGCTCCAGAGATTTTTCTATAATGTTAATTTAATAATTTGTGTCATATGAAAATCACTCCAAATAAACATATTGTTTTAACTTTTATAGATTTACAGTACCGTGTCACTCTAGATTCACTGAGACAGATATCGCGAAGTTTTTTCTCTGGAACTCAAGAGAGAAAGATTCAAAGAAACATCACAGTTCGAGAATCAGAATGCACTAAGCACTCCTTCTACATGTTGGCAAGTAAATCATATATTATAGCTGCCTTATTCCAAATCAAGAATATAGTAGAGGTCTTATTTCAAGTAAACCTAATTCTTACTGTTTTATTTCAATGTGCACACATAAACTTTTTTTATTCACTCATATCAGAAAAATCACAGGTCTGATTTTCTCATTTTTAAATACATTTCACACAATTATCTGTAGTCTTTCCTATGTGTCATCATACACTCATATGTTGTAGAATTACAGTAGTTAAAGACACAGTATACTAGTTGACAAGAGACTTTATTCACCTATCATTTTGTTTCATTCATTCATTTATTGACTCAACTTAAAAACATCATTTGACTTCTGTGGGTCACCTCTGTCAAATGTAGATGAGAGAAGAGTAACTGCCCTGATGACAGACTGTGGAGCCATATGCTTTCTGAAGTCCACTGAACTATCTATGTTGCTCTTTGACTTTAAATTGAAAGGGTAAAAAAATCTGGTGTTCTCTTTTCATCTATAGACTTTGTGCTACTTCAGTTTCTTTCTATCTTATTAGGTGAGGGAGACTTGGAATATAAATTATTAAGCTCTAAAGATGGCTGGCAAGCCAGTTTGAAACATTTTAACTGTATTTTGTTGGGGCACTCTGTATATGGGAATTGTTTCTAACTGAAGGAGAAACTTTCTTAAGCATTATCTTAAAATGTACATAATAGCAATAAAAACAAAAAAGCAAAATGAAGGTGATGAGGAAACACTGATTTTAGTGGCTGACATTAAGACTTAGAGATTTTAAACATGATCTTGGAGTTTTAAATGAGATAGACTGATTTTCCCACCTTTGACTTATTTCTGCATTCTTGATGTATTCATATACTATATTTTGAAAATCATAGTTGGAGCAAGGAAGTGAAAGAACATGTGTATCCTGATATTAATTCTTTCTCAGTGATTTTCACGTTACTATTCCCCATACTGTATATCAAAATAAACTTATTCTGTCAACACTAAGATCAATCTATGATCTGAGAAAATAACACTGGAATTTTCTCTCCTATTTGGTTCACCAGAACTGAACATTTAGAAGTTAGAACTTGGATAAAATTTAAATGGGCACAAAGGCAGATATAGCATTGCCTCCAACCGCTAAAAATTATTGCCATTTATGGTTGCGCATAAATCAATGTTTAAGCTATATCTAGGACCTGGTGCTAGTGGGAATAAACTGATTTCAAAATTTCCAAAATTTTTTTGGATTTTTATTTTATTTTTATTTTTTTTAGAGGCAGAGTCTCGCTCTGTCATCTAGGCTAGAGTGTAGTGGTACAATAATGACTACCATAGCCTGGAAGTCTTGGGCTCAAGCAATCCTTCCACCTCGACCTCCCAAGTGACTAGGACTACAGGCTTGCACCACCATGCCCAGCTAATTTTTATTTTATTTTATTTTATTTTATTTATTTTATTTTATTTTATTTTTATTGTAGAGACAAGATTCTGCTATGTTGTCCAGGTTGGTCTTTAACTCCTGGCCTCAAGTGATTCTCCAGCCTTGGCCTCCCAAAGAGTTGGGATTAAAGGTGTGAGCTACCACACCTGGCCTGGATTTTGAAATTAACACTTTAACATTTTTTGTTCTGGAGTCAGTCAGGGTGGAATTTGTGTCCTAATTTCTCCACATTCTGAGTGATTTTGGCAATGTTGTTTAGTCTTTTCGAGGTTCAGGTTTTCATCTGTAAAATAAGAACCATAGTAATTCTTCATCTTAGAGGACTATTTAAGTAATTCACAATAATGTGTATAAAGGTCACTAGTTGTTGTTGGTGACATGTTAACAATATTATCATATTCACATCATTTCCTTATGTAATTCTTATGGTTAGAGGTATATATTACATTCATGAAATGCAACTCAATTTAAAGAAAGTTTGCCTTTCTAAAATTGGGAGACTTTTCTAGAAGTATTATGTAGTGATCTTTACTCAGGAGAAACTATATTGCTATTCAAATAGCTCAGGATGGTATGGCATGGCAAGGTATGACATAACATGACACTCCAGCAGGCCCCTCCGAGGAGCTGTAGGTACACGAACAGGTAATACCCTGAAGCTTCAGCATCCGGATATGCTCTTTGTCAAAACAAAAAGCCAGTCCCCCTGCAGCAAAGCAAAAGCCTGACGAGACCATATGTCCGATTAGGTGCAGAAGAATGTTCTAATAAGCCTGACCCTCAGGGGCAGAAGAAGGAAATCATAACAAGATCAGAACATCCAGTAAATACGATCCAATGACGTATTTTATGTTTGAACCTCTAGGACAAGCACGACTTTCAGGACTCTGTGAGAATAACTTTGGATTTTAATCTTACCGATCCAGAAAATGGACCAGTTCTTGATGATTCTCTACCAAACTCAGTACATGAATATGTAAGTCAGATTTTGATAATTCAGAATACCTACTTGTAAATGTATTAGAAAAAGCTTGAGACACATAATCCTAAATCAGATACAAGAAAAAAAAAACAAAGAATTAGACTTTTAGACTTTCCCAATCTTTCTAATTTCTTATAGTTAGAGTTTAAGGAAACTAAAAAGTGACACCCATTTTTACCTCACTTGAAATAAGGATCAGTTGAAAGAAATGTCCCCCTTTATTGTCTTAAACATTGGGTTGCAGGGCATGGTTTAGGTATAATAGGTGTCCTCATACAGAGCCATGGTCTTGGACCACAGATAACCAACTAGGTCATCAGCAGTGCTGGTTTATCTCTGGCTTTCTTCATAGGGATCCACCTTGTAAACTTGCATGGAAGAGTAGAGCTGAATGTGTGATTCCTATGGGGGCATTACTGCCCCAAGGAAAAAAAAGAGAGAAAGAGAATGAGCTGTGTTTGCCTAATTCCTGTTTCTAAAGTAAAACCTAGGCCCCACCCTTGAGAGTGAGTGAGAAAAGAGAAGAGGGCACAGTGTCAAGAGTGTGGCTCCAATGGAGGAGATGTCAAGCATGGGAAATTAGTTTCCCCATACACCTACCTTCCACTCTCCCTTCCTTCCTACCAAATATATTTATTGTCATATGTGTACTAGACATTGGCACTTACAATCTGACCAAGGAGACAAGTAATAAGTAGTCACTAAAGTGTAGCCTACTGGGGAGAATTTCAAACCGGTCCCCAACCTTTTTGGCATCAAGGACCAGTTTTGTGGAAGACAGTTTTTCTTGGGGTGGGGGACGGAGGGGATAGGCTGTGCAGTCAAACCTCACTGCCAATGTCAATCTGTATTTGCAGCTGCTCCCCGGTGCTAGCAGCCTCCTGTGAGAATCTAATCTGCCAGTGATCTGACAGGAGGATCTCAGGTGTTAATGCCAATGATGGGGAGCAGCTGTAAATACAGATGAAGCTTTGCTCGCTTGCCGGCCGCTCACCTCTTGCGGTGCAGCCCCATTCCTAACAGGACTGGAATCAGTCTGTGGCCCAGGGGTTGGGGACCCCTGCTCTACAGGAACTTCTACCTAGAATTTTGAATTGGGAGAATCTCCCTGAGGGTGAGACATTTCGGGCAAGCCCTGAAGGATGGGATGATTTTCCAGAAGAATGGGGGGAGAAAAGAGTATGTGTAAAGATCTTGCAGCATGAAGAAAACTAAAGTATACTCACTAGTGTGGTGGAATCTAAAGAGTAGGAAAGGAAGCGGTGTGAGAGGAGGTTGGAATTGAAAGCAGGGGCCTTCACTCAGGACTTAATGCCACTGTACAAATTCTAAGCTTCTTAAAGAGCAGTGTCATGTTATTGAAGGTTTTCATTTGGTTCAGTCATGGGATAGGATGCTGCAGGATGGAGAATGATTGGAAGGAAACACGAGTGGATGCAGGAGACCAGTGGAAGACTTTTTACTTTAGTTTACCAAAGAAATGAGGGTGTTAGCGTGAGAGGTGGTGGTGGGAATGGAAAAGCAAGAAAGGATTGGTGATATGTTTGAATTGAAGCCGGGCTCAGTGGTTCAGCCTGTAATCCCGTGCTTTTGGGAGGCTGAGGTGAATGGATTGCCTGAGCCCATGGGTTCGAGACCCACCTGGGCAACTTGGCGAGACCTTATCTCTACAATAAAAATCAAAAA